CTTTGAAAGCCTTAAAAATGCAGAGCAAAGGGCAGCTGGGAGAAGCCACTGAGGAGCCAGGGGGAGCTCTCTGGGGCTTGCTGGTTTTCATAAATGACCATTCGTGTAAAGAATCATTCAGAAAACAAAACTTTCTTAAAAAAAAAAAAAACAAAACCCCCCAAAAGACAAACAGCAAAACTTACAGGGTTCTCGTATATTCCTGGATTTCCTTGAGTTTCGTTTGTATGGAGTAGGCCTGAACTTGTTTTTGTTGTTGTTGTTGATTTGTTTTTTTTTTTGTTTTGTTTTTTTGTTTTTTTGTTTTTTTGTTTTTTTTTTTGGTTTGGGAGACAGGGTTTCTCTGTGAAACATCTCTTGCTGTCCCAGAACTCACTTTGTAGAGCAAGTCTTGAGCTTCTGATCCTGCTGCCTTCATCTCCTGAGTGCTAGAATTATAGGTATGTGCCACCAGGCCGTCTTTACACAACACTGGGAATCAAACCCTGGGCTTTGTGCCAGCCAGGCAAGCACCCGTGTCCTTGACTTCCAAATCTGCCCTGATAGAAACATGGTAGTGTCAGAAGAGGATCTGTGTGCAGCGATGGCCTCCTAACGTCAATGTACTTTCATACTTGTGACGCTTAAACCTGGATTTCCCAACAAGACTGATGTCTTAAATATTTTTAGGTAAAATCAGATTATCTCAGGGGCAGTGATGGCTCAGTGGTTAGGAGCGATGGCTGCTATTGTTGAGGATCTGGGTTTGTGTTCTCAGCACTGGCCAGGTGGCTCGCAGCTACCTGTAACTCTGGTTTTGGAGGGTTTGACACTCTTTTCTGGCCTCTCTCGGTACCAGGCACCAGGCTAAAGACTCATGCACAAAAGATAAAAAAAAAACCTTTTTACAAAAATATAATTTCTGGCCGGGCGGTGGTGGCACACGCCTTTAATCCCAGCACTCGGGAGGCAGAGGCAGGTGGATCTCTGTGAGTTCGAGGCTAGGCTGGACCGACAGCCTCCAAAACAATACAGAGGAACCCTGTCTCGTAAAAAAAAAAAAACCAAAAAAAAATATATATATATATAAAACTTCTGTTTGCTGATTGGTACTTTGTTGATTTGGACTTGGCTGGTCACATTTACCTACACAGTCCTATTTGCAAACTTGAATTATTAAATCTCCTTGGACATTTTAAAGTGTGTTTATAACTTGAATCTGCCTGGTTCCCATAAGCGACTCAAACTTCTAGCAAGGTGGATAACACTGGAAAAATCGAAGTCTTTCTAAGCCTTTAACTTAGCCTGATAGCAAATAGATTATGTTAACTTCAGTTGCTAAGTCAGATATTGTCAACATTTCAATTCTTTTATTGTGTTTGCTATATATATGGGTGCTTTCCTGCATATATGTAAGTACACCATGTGTGTACAGTGCCAAGAGAGGCCAGATCCCCAGATCTCTCCTTATAGACAGTTGTGAGCTAACGTATGGGTGCTGGGAACTGAACCCTCATCCTCTCTACAAGAGCAGCGAGTGTTCTTGACTGCTGGACCATCTCTCCAGCCCCTCCATTCTCTTTGTGATCTTACTGTAGTTTTTAAATCTTTCATCTTAATCCCATATCATTTAAAACTGTGAAGCTGGGGCTGGAGAGATTTTTCTGGAGAACCCTGGCTTTGATTTCCAGCACTCACATGATGGATCACAACTGTCTGTAATTCCAGGGGATCCAACACTGTCCTCTGCCCTTAGTAGGCACCAGGCACACACATGTTGAATAGACATACATGCAGGCAAAACACAGCTACACATCAGATCAATAAATAAGCAAATGTATATGTTGATTTTTTTCTAGACAGCGTTTCTCTGTCTGATCTTGGCAGTCCTAGAACTTGCTGTGTAAATCAGGCTGGTCTCAAACCATGGCTCTGCCTCCCAAGTGCTAGAATGAAAGGTGTGTGCCACCAGCCTGGCATAAATAAATTTCTTTTCTTTTTTTTTTTTTTTTCTTTTTCAAGATATGTATCTCTGGCTGTTCTGGAACTTGCTCTGTAGACCAGGCCGGCCTTGAACTCACAGAGATCCTCCTGTCTCTGCCTCCCAAATGCTGGGATTGAAGGTGTGCACCACCACTACCCAGCTCTAAATACATTTCTTAAAGCTGTGCATCACAAGGCTGTTTTGTAATGCAGTCAAACATGCTGTGCATTTATGTGCATAAATGATTAGAGATTAGACAGTGCTCACAGGCTTTCTAAACTTCATGACTCACACTGTGGCTTACTATCCATTTGACACTTAAAAAATCACATTCTCCCAACTCTTGTAATCTATGGTGGGCTCTTAATATTGAACAATTTTCCTTTTTCCCATTTGAGGCTAGAACCCAGGTGTGGTCAGATCCCACTTAAGAACGGCCAGTCTAGGGCTGGAAAGATGGCTCAGAGGTTAAGAGCACTGGTTGCTCTTCCAAAGGCCCAGAGTTCAATTCCCAGCAACCACATGGTAACTCACAACCATCTATAATGAGATCTGGTGCTCTCTTCTGGCCTGTAGACACACATGCAGGCAGAATACTGTGTATATAATAAATAAATAAGTAAATAAATGGCCAGTCTATCCCCAAGTGGAAGGGATCCCTCTGTGTCATTGGTCCCCAGGGTTTTTTTGCTCAAATTCAATCTCCCCATATTGCAGTAAATACACAACTTTTGGGTTTTTCTTTTGTTTTTCAAGGCAGGTTTTCTGTGTAAGCCTGGGTGTCTGTCCTGGAACTTGATCTGTAGAACAGACTGACCTCAAACTCCTGCCTGTCTCTGGGATTAGAGGCATGTGTCACCACCACCCAGCTACAACTTCTGGAATTCTTTCAAGTCCTAACCTTAATCACGTCTCATAACGTGTTTCGGTACTGACTGCCTGATTTGAGTTCATCGACTCAGCCTCCCCGTGCAGGTTTCCCCGTACCGACTTTCTAACCACTTGACTGCCTCGCTGATGTTCTTCCTGCTTAGTTGACATCTCGTGTTTCCTGTTCTTTGTGTCTGACTCTCAGCTACATGTCTGGAGTCACTTACAAATTACAGTTCCCTGATAGCTGGTTAGCCAGCATGTTTACCAGATAACAAGCCTAAGCAAATACCTAAGCAGGAGCAGAGAGCTTGGTCCTCACATTGCCCTGGGTATTTCTGCCTCCAGGTCTGACTGGTACTCCAGCCATGCCAAAGAACCCTCCATCCGTCACCCTTAGTACCCATGGAGTCCTTGCTCCTACGGCTCTCCATCCACTCTACTTTACACAGAAGCTTCCTGGCTCCCCTGCCTTCTGTGTGATGTTCCAGACTGACTTTGGGAAGCCAGAAAGGTGTGCTGAGCTACTGGACCTCAAGCAGACTTTTCTAGAAGCCCCTTCCTTCCTCTTCCCTGGTCAGCAGAACTTGGCATGTAGAAGCAGATGCCTTCCAAGCTAGTGGAATGAACTACAGCTAGCTCTCTCTCTCTCTCTCTCTCTCTCTCTCTCTCTCTCTCTCTCTCTCTCTCTCTCTCTCTCTCTCTCTCTCTCTCTCTGTGTGTGTGTGTGTGTGTGTGTGTGTGTGTGTGTGTGTGTGTGTGTGTGTGTAGGAAAGGATTTTTTAAATTTCAGCCACCCAATACTTTGAAGGCTTCCTGACACCCTTCTTCAAGGTTTTCAGCCATAGTCACCATGGAAGGCCACATGGGTCAGTAATCTGGTTAAATCATTGCCTGAGTCCTGTCCTTCCTGCCTTGTGTGACCTTGAACCTGGTTCCTGACCTCCTAGGAAGGTGGACCATGTCACATTTGGTGTGCGCAGAGGATGTCATGGGAAACTGTCTGTTGTCACAGTGAAGAGTGACACTGGAGTCAGAATGACTAGATCCTGACCCACTCATGTCTCTCTGGCTGACCTCGTACATGACACCCCACCTTTCTCAGCCTCAGTTTCCCTAGCTGTACAATAGGGAAATAATACTTACCGTTGTCACCAGCTCGACTAGAACAGTGAGTGCCACACTGGCGTTGGCAGCTTACTTTATGGAAGTCACCCATGTTTTCAATTCAGCAAGTGCTGTCTGTCTACCTGCTATCCCCCAAATAAGAAAAAATACATCATATTGGGGTGATAGAATGTGATGGCCTGATAGGTAATAGGATGCCCTTTCTAAAGAATGGCCACGAGATAGGATTGGAGAGGGACACCAGCTACAACCAGGGGGCCCAGAAGGGGAAGAGTAATGGCTGGAGACATCAAGAAAAGGAGTGACTGGACCCAGTGACACACAGAAGGTCGCTCAGGCTGCCGTGGGAGGGTGAGTTGAGGGGAAGCCCAGAGTGCAGTGACCCAGGCAGAGCCCAAGGCCGTGCTGCACAGAGCTGCCCAAGGATGGATGTGTTTTGCAAAGGGTAGTGGTGAGGCCAGGTGCAGGGTCTGGAAACCAAGGATGGAGGACTGTTGCCAGGAGACCGGGCTTGAGCAGGAAGGGGTTGGCCTCTGCCTATCAGAACTTTGGGAAGGAGGAGTCATGCTCTATGTATATCCTGGGTTATAGGACGGGCTGGCCTCCGGGGATGCTTTACACTGTTTCCTCAGACATTTGTCCTGGAGAGGTCTCCAGGAACTCACACAGCAGCTCCCCTGCTCTGCTCCCCCTCCTCTGGCAAGGGACAGCATTGACTGTTCCTTCCCTGCCCATCTTGCCCTGGCTCTGGCCCTGGGGAGGAGTGATTACCTTCAGCCATGCTCCTAGAGTGAAGGGAAAGATGGAAGGGACATCGCCAAGGTCTATAGCCTCTGCTCACGAGTTCACCCACTCTGGAGAAGTGGAACCAGTCCCTTTACCCAGGTTCCCTTGTAACTGAGTCCATTCTGAGCAGAGCCCCCCTGGGAGACACTAGGTCACAGGCTGGACCTTTTCTAGACAGCTTATTCTCCTGACTCGTCAGGCTGCTCTAGAGGGTTGGGAGGCTCTCTTGCTCAGGATGTTTTTGTCTTGCCAGCTGGGATGACAGCAGCTCCGTCAGCAGTGGCATCAGCGACACCATAGACAACCTCAGCACGGATGACATCAATACCAGCTCATCCATCAGCTCCTACGCCAACACGCCTGCCTCCTCCCGAAGAAACCTGGATGTGCAGGTAAGGGACGGGATATGTCTTCCCAGGCTCCTCCAGTGTCCTTGCTAGCTAGCCCTGGTTTGCGGGGATCGGAATTCCCTGGCTAGTGAGAGGAGGCTCAGCTTCTGACCCCTGTCTCCTCTGCAGAAAAAGGAGGCCAGGTCTTGCAGTCTCGTTGTTTTGGTGTGAGGAGACCCTGACCCCTCCCTGGACCCCAGTTTCAGTGTGTTTTTAAATAAACAAGCAGGGAACAGAGAGAGAACTCAGTTTATAAAACGCAAGCCTGAGGAACTGAGTTCAATACCCAGAAACCACATTTAAAAAAAAAACAACCCTGTGTGTGGTGGTGGACATCTGAACTCCCAGTGCCACAGAGGCAGGGATAGGTGGATCCCTGGGTCTCACTGACCAGCCAGAGTAGACTACATAGCAAGCTCCCAGGTTATGATAGATCCTGTCGCCAAAAAAAAAAAAAAAAAAAAAAAGGGAGGCAACACTTGAGGAATGGGCACTCAAGGGTATCCTGGCCCCCACATGTGTGTTCATACATGTTTACACACATCCATGCGCTCTACACAAATGTGCAAGCATATATACACACATTTTTTAGAAATTTAAGATAATAAGCAAGGGGCTGTTGGTTCCCCTGGTGTGGATCCTAGACCAAAGTGTGTCTCGTCTTTGTCACATGAGGCCCCGCTGTCTGTGAGCACACGTCTGCTCTCCAGGGAGTAGAACAAAGGTTAAGAATGTTATACTGGAAAGCCAGGATGTCCCCATCTGAGGTCTGGGAACTGTCTGTCTGTGGATCACATCTCTTGCTGGTGTGTGTTGCTTGGTCTGCGCTAATTACTCTTACTATAAATAGCATTCCATCTTGTTCTTCTTTTCCTTTGATTTTTTGTTTGTTTGTTTTGCTTTGCTTTTTTGAGACAGGTTCTCCTGACCCTTGATCCCCGCTCAACATCCTGAGTGCTGGGGTAACAGGTGTGGCTCACACCTTGCTTTATGCAACACGGGGGTCTGTGAGAATGTTAGAGACTGCTCTGCCCACCGAGCCATAGCCCTAGGCCCTTTTCTTTTTGATGCTGTTTGGGGTTTGTTGGTCTGTCTTTGAGACTCGAGTTTTAATGTGACCCAGGCTGGCCTAGAATCCTCCTGCCTCTGCCTCAAAAGTACTGCGATCCTGTGTTTGCACCACCACACCTGGTGTTAATTTTTTTTTTAACCCGTACCTGGCTCTGGAAGGCAGGAAGCTGTTCCTCTGCAGGAGCAGGCTCCTTGACACAGGTCCCTGTGAGCATTGTGTAGCCAGCAGCCACCAGCCAGTTACACTGCTCTGGGATTTGACACTTCAAGCACGTCTCAGTTTTGGTGGACTCTTTTTTGGCCCTGGCTGAGTTCCTTAATGGCTGGACTTCACTCTGTAAGATCACAGGCAAAGTATGGTATCACCCTAGTGGCTTATCACCAGCACAGAGCTATGGCAATTCTGGCATGGGTTAACCATTTGGGGTGAATTACTGAGAAAGCCTGGGGATACTACCCCCAATCGCCGGTGTGTCCCTGCCCCTCTCTCCCCTCGTACCCCTCCCTCAGCATCCTCCTCACCGCTCTTCACTCTGTACCGGTAGGGGCCGTGTTGGAAGTCTTTGTTTCAAAGGAGTCTCTTCTTGGAGGATAGAGCTAAAGAAAGGCTGTGTTGGCAGTGTGGGCATTAACGCTTCCTTACAGAAATGAGACTACCCATGAGAGGTTTTAGGCATTGTTACTTCCTGCACTCTTATTTTAGCCAGAAATTGCAGTAGGCCTGTGCATATGTGTGTGTTGTTGTTACCTAGACAACAAGAAGGGGCACCAAGATGGGGGGGGTAAATACTTTGTATTCTGACCCGAGTAGTAGTTGTTTGAGTTGCTGATTTTCTGAAAATTTTCAGGCTGGGCACTTAAGATTCTGTACTTTATCATAAGAACGTATACTTAAGGGACTAGAGAGATAGCTCAGGGACTAAAAGCATGTGTGGTCCTTGCAGAGTTCAGTTCCTAGCAACATGGCAGGTGGCTCATACTGCCTGTAACTCTAACTGCAGGGGTTCCATACCTTCTTCTCTACTCTGTAGGCACAAGCACTTGTATTCTCTCTCTCTCTCTCTCTCTCTCTCTCTCTCTCTCTCTCTCTCTCTCTCTCTCTCTCTCTCACACACACACACACACACACACACACACAGTAAAAACAAAACTCTAAACAAAGTAATATTTCATCATTTCATCTGCAGGGTACACAGACTACTTTCCTGACCTGGATTTCCAGCACCACATAAATAGGGTGTGGAGTAATAGGTTTGTAATCCCAGCACTTAGGAGATGGAGGCGGGAGGATCATCAGCCTTGGCTATATAGTGAGATAGTGAGTTTCGGGTCAGCCTGGACTATGTGATACATGAAACAATGTTGTATCAAAATGACATACACACCCCTAACGTGTGCATTACGCCTAAATAAATAACTATATTTTAAAAACAAACTCTAAGCCATACACCCTGAAAATGATCACCAATGTATGATCAGACACAGTTAGCAGCACTCAGCCAGCCTAGGTCCCTGCTGGGTCTTAAATATCAGTATCGCTTTTTCTTTTTTTCCTGGTAGTCACTCTGTATTCAAGATGACAACAGCCACCAAGCTTCCAGTCTGCCCTTAGATACAGAGGGAAGGAGTCAGGGAGATGGGCCACATGGGGTAGGCAGGCCATAGGAGGCACAGAGACATCAGGAAATCCATGTGGCACCCCTGCAGATGATGCGGGGAGCCCCTACAGATGTCCAGGGGGAACTGGAACTGGAAATCCCTTCCATCTGCCTCCTTCCCACAGGCAGAAGTTAGTCTGCAGACACTATGGCTCCCTCACACACGCTGTGAACTTGGTGCATGCAAAGCCCTTGCCTCTTTGACTAGCACCTTGCTTTCTTCCTGTGGAAGCCACAGGGTGACGTTTCAAGGGTACAACGCAGGCGCCTTAGTCAAGATCAGAAGTAATTTTAAGGGATATGAGGGCTCACTGCTCACCGAGTCTGTTATTTGCTCTCTTACAAATCTACCCAATTGTAAAATATCAAAACGAGAGCTGGCTGAGGTAGTTCTGTGTAGCGGAAACGCTGGCTTGCAGCACTGGCTACCGACATGCCTATTGTCACGGTGCTTTTAAATGGACTTTTCGTGACATTCCCTTTGTTCCTGTCCAGGGAGCATCTCAAAATATTTGACTCCACATTCTGGCAGCCTCGTGCCTCCTCCCCCACAGGCTGTCAGGAATGCTAAGGGCCATTACCCTCCTTTGAGTGGATCGAGCCTGGAAGACGCGCCCGCACCCTCCCGCTCCTTGGTACGCTCGTCGGGGGTCTTGTCACACAGTGCTTTACCCTGGGCGAGTGGGCTGCACAGCCCACCAGGCAGCCCACATGAGGCAAGAGAGGGTTTGGTGTTCCCACAAGAGACACAGTCTGCCTGCCTCCCATCTGAGAAGAAGGAATTTCTCTTCTCGAAAGCCCAAGGAGCTACCCGGTGCGCTGATGGAAAGGCAGAGGAGGAGGCAGACGGAGAAGGTCTGATCCGTTCATGGCTGGGAGTGACACTTCCCTGAGGGAGCTGTTTCCTCTGAGCCCCAAGAGGCCTTCATGGCCTCTTTGTGGGCACCGGAGCCCCCGTGCGCTCACGGCTGGCTCAGTGTGAATGAGACCTCAGCCCCTCTGCATGACCACCTCTAGGACAACTGGTGAGTCCAAGTGCCAACTGTGGCATCAGAGAGGAGGGTGACACTGAAGTCAAGCGCTCAGGGGTGGAGTGTTTCACCCTGGGGTGCATCCTGGGATGGTCCAGTCAGATCGACTCCCAGAGCCTCCGCCTTCTCATGCCCAGAATAAAGGCCACCAGCCCCGCGCCCTGGAGCGTGTCAGCAGCATGCCAAGCGGGACGTGCTTCTCCCAGAGCCTGAGCTGGTGAGCTGCTCAGAGGCCCGTCTTTTCTCTCCGCTCCCTCTTGCGTCCGTGATGGCGGTTCAAAGGGCGGCATGCTCTCACGCATTTGGCGTGTGGCTTCAGGGCACTCTGCCCTCCTTCCTGAGCGCCTTGTTCTCCAGGCACTGTGCGGTGCATAGTGTTTTAACAAACACCCATGCCTGCATGCCTTCATCTAGACACTCTGGCCTGCCTTGGCCGTGCAGAGTCTTCCACAGTTTGTGGAAGGCACTAATCCGGGTGTTGGCGGTGGTGAGCTGCCTCTGCCAACATTTTCTTTGATTTTTTTTTAATGCCTGAAGTTTTTTTGTGTTTTTGTTATTGTTGCTTTTAAACAGAATTCACAGTGGGTGAAAATGCAATTCTTTGTCAGTTTACTTATTTTTTTTTAAACCTCTAAAGGTAAAAAAAAAAGTATGACCAATGTAGTCAGTGTTGCTGTTCTGTGTGCCCTAGTGTCCCCTGGACACCAGGTTATCAGGATGGCGGGCTCAGCTTAGCTACAGATAGGTAGGCTGCCACCTGCCCACCTCCCTGAGAGCCACTGCCTCTGACTATGGGGTAGTTACTTCACACCTGTGCCTTCTTGGGAGGTGTGTACAGCATGAATGAAAACTCTGTCTCAGAGGATGGGCTGGAAGTGTCTGAGGGTTATAGTGTCTGGGGTCACAAGTGGCCTGTGATGTTGCTGTAATTCTTTATATTTTGGGGGCTCCAACTTAGAGCTCCCTGCAGCTTCTAGGCCTGCAGTGGATTCAGCATCTAGAGGCTCAGGCAGCTAAAACTGTTTTAGGTCTGTAGGACATGGATAAGGGAAATGTTAAAGACACAGCTGGGGTTCTCAGAGCTGGAGGGTTTGCTGAAGAGAGCCTCTGTTTGTGAAATCCTTCCATGCTTAGCTCAACACCAGCTCTGTTTAGTCCCATCTGTTTGACACCCAGTATAACAGTCCTAGAGATGGGAAGGAACCCGAGGTCCCACACAGCAGTGAATGACAGCAGCCAGTGCTGGCACTCAAGCCCACTTGGCTCTAAAGCCAGTGCTCTTCCCCCTCTGGGCCAGCTTCCCTCTCTGGGAACACTGCTCTCCACTCTGAGGTCCCTCCTGGCTTATCTGCCTTCTTACCACTTGCCCGTTGATGGCCAGGGAAACATCCAAAAGCTCCCAGAGGAGGTAGGACCACCAGCGTGCTGACCTGCTGGCCCTCCTATTGCAAGCTCTGGGAACAGAGAAACAGACCCCTTCCATTTTAACTTCCAAGAGATAGCACTGATGGTTCCACGTGGTTCCAGAAGGATTTGCTAAGGATGTGTGACTGCAAACCTGTCAAGATGTCCCAGACAAACACCCAGCTATGCCGAAGGAGGTTGGAAGAGCTCTGTCACCCTGTATCAAGTTAGGGTGTGTGTGTGAGATAGAGGCCTGTGTTGCCAGAGAAGACAGGCCAGACCATGGTCCTAGGCTGGGGACATGTACACTCCCTGTTGTTGATTAAACTAGGGGGTCTGGCCCCAAGGCCAGACTAAGGCTGCTCTAGGTTTGGGCTTGAGATAACCAGACACCTTGTAGAAGGAGAATCCACTAAGGGTGGGTATTTTTAGTAGGTGTCCTGAGGCATGCCCAGGGTTGCATCTCTTTGGGATTATAGTCAAGGACTGCACTGTACCGCAGTGGTTAAATTATGAGCTTGGCAATTGGACAAGTAGCATCCCCACAATGCCTTCCTCACTGTGTGAGCCTGGGCGAGTTGCTTCCCCACTTAGTGCCTCAGTATTCTGTTATTTCCTCATGGGGTTTTGCTGAGAAATAAATCGAGTTGGGGTGTGTGTGTGTGTGTGTGTGTGTGTGTGTGTGTGTGTGTGTGTGTGTGTGTGTGTGTGTGTTTGTCACCAGGGTCTCATGGAACCCAGGCTGGCCAAAGAATCATTGTAAGTCCCAGGCCATCCTGGGCCATGGTGTGAGCTTCATCCTCCGGGAGGGGAGAGAAGGCCTAGATGAAGCTCAGCAGGGAGAGCGCTTTCTAAGCATGCCATGAGCCCCAACGCTATATAAACCCACTGTGCTGGTGCATTCTGGAAGCCCCAGTGCTAGGGAAGTGGGGCAAGAGGATCAGAAGTTCAAGGCTAGCCTTAACTATGTGGGGAACTTGAGGCCAGCCTGGGATACATGAGACTCTGCCTCAAAATATGTGCATTGGTATTTTGCCAGTGTGTATATAAGGGTGTCAGATTCCCTGGAACTGGAATTACATGATAGCTGTGAGCTGCCATGTGGGTGCTGGGAATTGAACCCGGGTCATCTGGAAGAACAGTCAGTGTTCTTAACCACTGAGCCATCTCTCCAGCCCCCATCGCTGCTTCTTTAAATGGCTGTAAATTCCACGAGGAATGGGGACTAATCTTGGAGGTTCTAATACACTACTTGACATCTGGTAAACAGTGCGTATTAAGTACATCTTAGTCCAGTGAGTGCCAGGATCCAGAAGAAGGGAACTGGGCTGGGGTCATTGGGTTTGTGCTCATCTTTCAAATTACGATAAGGACGGTATTGCATGCACGCCTTCTGATTGGCTTTAACCAACTTGTGCCTGGATCGGGCACATCATAGCCTGAAGTGTGTAGTAGTAGCTATACATTTGTTTGTTCCCCAACCTTGGTTGAGCTTCTGCTCTGCACACAGACGTGGGATCTCCCCTCGTGGGGCTGAGTATGTTTTAGTTGTCCCTTCCCACGACCCGTCTCTGGTTACTTGGTATGTGGCTGAGGCTCATGCGTGTTTTAGGGAGGGTCAAGCAGATGAAAGCACCTGTGCGAGGCTGGAGTGGTTGGGTGGCAGTCACAGGGAGCAGGGGGCTGGTGGGGAGAGGGGAGCTTGAACAGGAGCTGCTGGTCTGTACTGCACTGGCGTCCAGTCAGCCCTCCGTAGGAAGGCATTTGTCCTTCTCTCGTGTAGCACGCCTCAGGCCAGGTCTTGCCCAGGTCCCGTTCATTTCCCATCTTGCCTACATGGCCCCTTCTAGGCAGCTCACACAGGGGGCTTGCTTCTCCAAGTGGTCAGCCTGAAAGCCTTGCTGGCTTCCCCTTTCCTAGTCGTATAAAGCTTCTCCCTTCCAATACCCTCCCCCCTCAGCCTCAAGCCCCAGAGGCCCTGAGGATTGTAGCTCCCTTTGTGTCCCTTCAGCCCCGAGTTCATTAACGGCAGACTCCTATCTCTTCCCGGACTTCATGGCCAGCAGGTCAGGCTCTCCCAAAGAGAGTTGCCCAATTATCTTACTTGTCAGAGGACTGCCCGCATCGCGGGGAGCAAAAGCTCGGAGACAAAGCCGGGCGGGAGTGGACGCCGTTGCTATTGCCAGTTGAATGCTTCACACGTCAGACCGGTGGAGTTCACACATGCTTGCCCACTCCCCGACGATTTCCTGAACTAGTGCCAGGATCTCCCTGCTAGAGGAACGACAAGAAAGGAAGGAAAGGGGACAGGCTGGTGCTGGTGGAGATTCGGAGTCAGGGCCGGAGGTGACTACTACAAGGGGCAGGCTGGGTGACCCTTTCCCATCAGCTCCCCTCTGCTCTGCCCGCTCTCCTCCCCGGGCCCTCGGCTTGCTCCGCCCCTGCCACCTTTATTCTCTTCCCCAGCTCTATTAGCTGTTCCCCGAAAAAAAAAAAAGTGGAAGACACTGTGACTTTCTCACAAAGTAAGCGGATATCTGAGGTTTTGCGTGTCCTTGACCGGCACCTGTATTGGCGTGGCCTGTATTAGGGTGAGCTCTAATTCAGTTAAGTGTCTGTCCACAGACTGACGCCGAGAAGCATTCACAGGTGGAGAGGAATTCGCTGTGGTCTGGCGACGACATCAAGAAATCAGATGGCGGCTCAGACAGCGGTGTGAAGATGGAGCCGGGCTCCAAGTGGAGGCGGAACCCTTCAGACATGTCGGATGAGTCGGACAAAAGCGTGTCTGGCAAGAAGAATCCCATCATCTCACAGACAGGCTCGTGGCGGCGGGGCATGACAGCGGAAGTGGGCGTCACCGTGCCCAGGACGAAGCCATCAGCTCCGACGGGCACACTGAAGACCCCGGGGACTGGTGAGTGAGAGGCCAAGATCATGACGACCTTAGTAGGGGCATTCCATTAAAAGTGACTTACTTGAGTTGCTGTTTTGCTCACATCCGTCTTTATGGTGTGTGTGTGTGTGTGAATGGTTGTGAGTGTGTGTGTGTGGCAGATATGCACACTAACTGTGTGTGTATGCCGGTACATCTGTGACATAAGGACACCAGAGGATAACCTCAGGTGTGTTCCTCAATGCTGTCATCTGCTTTTTATTTACCCTTTTTCTTGTTCTGTTTGTCTATCTACCCATTTATGTATTTATTCTTTTATGTATTTATTTATTTTTGGTTTTTCAAGACAGGGTTTCTCTGTGGCTTTGGAGCCTGTCCTGGCACTCACTCTGTAGACTGGGCTAGCCTCGAACTCACAGAGATCCACCTGCCTCTGCCTCCCAAGTGCTGGGATTAAAGGCATGCGCCACCAACACCCAACCTATTTATCTTTTTTTGTTTGTTTGTTTGGTTTTTGAGACAAGGTCCTACTGTCTAGCTCTGGCTGTCCTGGAACTCACTCTGTAGCTGAGGCTAGCTTCTAACTCACAACGGTCCTCCTGCCTTTCACTCCCAAGTTCTGCGATTAAAGGTGTGCAGCAGTATGCCCAGCTCCACCTTTTTTTTTTTTTAGCCACAGTCTCTCACTGGCCCAGAGACTGATCACCAAGTAGGCTAGGCTAGCTGGTGAGTAAGCCCTAGGAATCCCCCACCACAGCTACCTTTTTCAAAGGTTGGTTCTGAGGCTCTTAACTCAGGCCTTCATGCCTGTAAGGCAAGCGCTTGACTGACTGAGCCAGCTCTCCCAGCCCCCATGACAGCTTCCTCAAAGCTTTCCTTCCCTTGCTCTTTCTGAGGAGGAATGGCGTGTGTGTGGGTCCCACAGTGGTTCCACATGGGTGGTTTTCACTGTGTACCAGCTGGCTCGGTACAGGGTCTCACCACTCACCAGGCAGTTAACACGTCAGTACCGGCTGCTGGAGGCCATGATGGTATATTGTATGCTGTCCCCTGGAAGTGTCAGGGCCACTCTCAGGGACACGAGGCAAGAGAGCAATGTATGACAGAGTCTCTCATGCCTGGGTATGTACCAGCAGCTTCCTGGCTTTGCTCTGATCTGGGGGAGCATAGAATGCTCGGGAAAGAGTAAAGTCAGTGACACCTCCTTTTAGGAGCAGACAGCAGCAGACGAGATTATCACTGCAAAGCTCTTTCTCCTGATCTCCCCAGGTTGGTGATCTCCTTAAGGAAGCAGGGCAACCACAGTCTTTAGAAGGGTCTGCATGCTAAGCACACTAGCCAGCAGAGTCGGGTTTGTGGTCTGACCTCACTGGTTTCTCTCTTAGGAAAAACAGACGACGCCAAGGTCTCTGAGAAGGGAAGGCTTTCTCCCAAAGCCTCCCAGGTCAAGCGCTCCCCATCGGATGCTGGCCGCAGCAGTGGAGATGAAGCCAAAAAAGCTCTCCCCAGCAGCTCTAGGACGCCCACTGCCAATGCCAATAGCTTTGGATTCAAGAAACAGAGCGGCTCTGCCGCTGGGCTGGCCATGATCACAGCCAGTGGGGCCACTATCACCAGCAGGTCTGCGACACTGGGTAAAATCCCCAAATCATCGGCCCTTGTCGGTCGGTCCACGGGTCGGAAGACGAGCATGGACGGAGCCCCAAACCAGGATGATAGTTACCTGTCTCTCAGCTCTCGGACGAACTTACAGTATCGGAGCCTGCCCAGGCCCAGCAAGTCCAGCAGCCGGAATGGGGCCGGGAACAGGTGCAGCACCAGCAGCATCGACTCCAACATGAGCAGCAAGTCAGCAGGCCTGCCAGTGCCTAAGCTGAGGGAGCCCTCCAAAACATCCCTGGGCAGTTCGCTGCCAGGGCTCGTCAACCAGACAGACAAGGAGAAAGGCATCTCTTCAGACAACGAGAGCGTGGCTTCCTGTAACTCTGTGAAAGCCAACCCGGCTACCCAGCAGGTGTGCGGCTCGGCCCAGGCCGCTCTGCAGCCAGGGGCCAAGTATTCGGATGTGGCCTCTCCCACACTCCGCAGGTAAGCAAGCAGAAATGCCTGGAACCAGGGAGGAGCCAGCGTACTGCAGCCTGGCACCCTGGGCTAATAAACTCCCCCTTTGATGTAAAGCAACCTGCAGGCCCTTCGGTTCTTGGTAAGGTTGCATTGAAGGCCAGCTCCTGCCTGAACGTCTGTAGTCTGTGCATTACTTTTCCCATGCTGGGATGGGAAACAGAAGGTTCTAGAATCAAAGCCTGACTTCATTTTAATTAGCTCCCAGGTTGCTCTCTGAACCCTGCCTCAGTTTCCTCTTCTGTTCACTGGAACTGATGGCACTTTCCTCAGCTTCCCCGCTAAAGTTCATCTTTGCGGCTGTGCATGGCACGGAAGGCACCCAGTGAAAGTTAGCGACAGTAAGGGTGAGTTCCTGGCACATTATCACACCCAGATTTTAGCTCACGGGATGAAGCTCTATTGTTTTCTTGTCTCAATACCGTCCTGTTCTTTTATAAGACATGGACAGTATTTGAAACGTTAGCTTTTTAAAACATTGTTACTTATGTAAGTATGTGTAGCGTGTGTGTGTGTGTGTGTGTGTGTGTGTGTGTGTGTGTGTTCACGTGTGCACATGCATGGAGGCCTGAAGTGGAAGTCGGTGTCTTCTTTGATCACTGTCCTCCTTAGTTACCGAGTGTCTCACTGAATTCAGAGCTGGGTTAGTTTGGGAATTGATTGCAGATGGGTACCACACGCCTGTCCATTCTTCGCATGAATTCTGAACAACAGACCCCTGGTCCTCCTGCTTGGCTGTAAGGGGTTTATGCCATGAACCATCTCTTCCTTTTACATAAACCCCTAACAGCAGAACAGTTTCTAACACGGAGAAATCGACTTCCTAGCACTTTTGAAAGGCATGTCTTCTCCACGTCTCTGCAGTTGATGGAAATTCTTATTGTGGGAAAGCGTGGATGTCCTTTAACAATTCCTTTTAAATCACCCACTGGACCCTTTTCTTTATGGTTTTTTGTTGTTGTTTTTTGGGACAGGGTCTTTCCTACATAGTCCTGGAACTCACTATGTAGACCATGTTGGCTTCCAACTTGCAGAGATCTACCTGCCTCTGCCTCCCAAGTTCTGGGATTTAAAAACAGCCACTGGCCCAGTTTTGAATGGCAGTTACATAGCTCTCACATGCCTTCTGGGCCATGACAAACCCTAGGATAGAAAGTTGAAGTGGGGCTGGAGAGATGGCTCAGAGGTTAAGAGAACTGAGTGTTCTTCCAGAGGTCCTGAGTTCAATTCCCAGCACCCACATGGTGGCTCACAACCACCTGTAATGAGACCTTTATGCTCTCTTCTGGAGTGGAGGCAGAACAATGTGTACATAATAAATAAATAAATCTTTAAAAAAGATTTGTGACTATTAAAAAAAAGGAAAGTTGAAGGGTGTGAAAATAGAACCCATATTTAAGGATGAACAGGGGTATCTGAAGACTCTAAAAGAAGCATTCCACATGAAACGGGAGGAAGTCCATGTGGTGTGCCCTTTCTAGACTTGATTATTAGGATGCCAGTGGTCATTATTTTTTTAGGGACAGCATCCTATGGGCTGTTCCTTGCTGTTTTAACACACTCCCACATAATGAAAAATTTCTCTCCCATTTGCTTCAAGTAGAAGAATAAAGCATGATCTTTTTTTTTTAAAGATTTATTTATTTTTGTGTCTACAGTGTTCTACCTACATGTCTGCCTGCAGGCCATAAGAGGGCACTAGATCTCAGTACAGATGGTTGTGAGCCACCATGTGGTTGCTGGGAATCGAACTCAGGACCTCTGGAAGAGCAGCCAGTGCTCTTAAACCTCTGAGCCATCTCTCCAGCCAATGATCTTAAAGACTTCCTTTGGATACTACAGTGGCATTTTACTAGATCCTCAAGCTGGTGTACACAAATCTTTAAAAGCACACAGGCTCCTCACAACTCATGCTTGGGTAATCACATTCCCTAAATTGCCCTGGTGGTCTAGCTGTGCCTTTATTTGTATGGCAAGGAGAAGCCCCCAGTGGAGTGAGATGGATAAGTCCTTCAAGTTTTCACAAATTAATGCAGCCGACAAAGTGAATTTGTATATGGGATTGGAAGCCAGGCAAAGGTAGTTCTCATCTTTGCTCTCTAACAATGAAAAGAGGCCATCAGGGAGGTCCCATCGCTAAGAGTGTGTAAGCATTATGATGCCCAGATTCCAGAGTAGGGTAATGTGTTCCCCTGATTCTGCCATTAGATATTGTAGTGAGGGTTATACACTCATGCCATACAGATACTGAGAGTTGAGGGACTGTTTCTAGGTGATCAAGGTCAAATCCAAATTACTGCAGGCTTTGGGGCAACATGTCTGTCACAACATGTAGTGTTCTTGTCAGCTTCCAGGGCTACTTACCCCCTTCACTACTTTTTGAGGGTGGGATAAGGCCCTTGCATTCTAGAATGTGGTCCACCCTCTGGCTTGGAGGTGGTTTCACTAGAGAGCTCTCTGCCCGTGGAAGAGAAGGCCTCTGTGCCTTCTCTGTCCTGATCACACATTTGTGGAAGTGAGCAGAAGTTGGCATGGCCTCTCTGTGTGTCTGTTTCAGAGTCACGATTTGTACCCGGTGTGTCTGGTCCGATGTCTGGGGACCCAGTACGTTTCTGTGTATGGTGTCAGCTCACACAAGGTCTCTGTCGCTCATATATTTGCGTCCACACGTCTTCTGAGCTCCCTCTGGGGCGTAAACCGATGGTCTTGATTCATTGCATTGTGCGGAGGGATCAAAGAAACCAAGTCTCAAAGCTTCATACATGGTATCACAGAAAGAAGACATTCTTTTCCTTCCAGAAGATTCCTGGGTTGGGGAAACCTTCTAGCTATTCTATTTAGAGAAAGAAAAGGGAAGCAAGCTCGTGGAGGAGTGTGACTAGGCCCATGGAAAAGTATGCCTACCACCTGGGCTTAGAGCTGTATCCTGGCTGTGGCCTGGAGTTAGAGAGAGGTCCAGCCCTGCTTAACTGCCAGTGTTTCTCTAGTGAGACCCTTGTGTGTCTGCAGGAGAGACCACTGCCCTCTCCAAGGGTCTCACAGCCTCCTCTGCCCCGGCCTTCTCCAGTAGGCCAAGCTCTGCACACCTTGGTCCCAGGTATTTGTCCCACACAACCCTTTGTCTCTTCGCAGACTCTTTGGTGGGAAGCCTACCAAGCAAGTGCCCATCACCACAGCCGAAACCATGAAAAGCGCAGTGGTTATCTCCAACCCTCATGCCACCATGACCCAGCAAGGTAACCTAGAGTCCCCCTCAGGCAGTGGCGTCCTGAGCAGTGGGAGCAGCAGTCCTCTCTACAGTAAGAACGTGGACCTCAACCAGTCTCCGCTAGCCTCCAGCCCCAGCTCAGCCCACTCGGGCCCCTCCAACAGCCTCACCTGGGGTACCAGCTCGTCGGCAGTGAGCAAGGACGGCCTGGGCTTCCAGTCTGTTAGCAGCCTGCATACCAGCTGCGAGTCCATTGACATATCCCTCGGCAGCGGTGGGGGCCTGAGTCACAACTCCTCCCCTGGCCCAGTCACCTCCACTAAGGAAGACTCCCTGATGCCTTTTGTCCGCACCAGCAGTGTGAAGACCACACTGTCAGAAAGGTTGGTGCCATGCCCTCAGGAACGTGTCCTTCCCCAGATACAGACAGAAGATTAGGGATCCAAAGGCCTATGCCTGGGAGGTTTTGTTCTTTCATTTTTTTCTTTCTCTCTTTTTTCCTTCTGGTTTTTCTGTTTTGGAACTCTGTCTTTGGACCAGGTGGGCCTTGAACTCAGAGATCCGCCTGCCTCTGCCTCCCGAGTGCTGGGGTTAAAGGCGGGCGTCACCATGCTCAGCTTGGTTTTGCTCTTTCTAATCAATGTTCCTTGCTGGTCGAAGCCAGTTTAGGTTGCAGTTGGCCTGGACTGCTTCCTGCTGTCCCTTTTTTCTTTCCGGATGCTCTTGGTGCTCAGAGCTACTAGTTGGGGACAGATCTCTGCCACTGTCTGAAATGACATTCAGCACTGGAATGGGTTTGTCAGCCTATTGACAACTTCACCTGCTCCTTCTCATGTAACTGAGCAAGCAGAGTAGGTGACCTGGGGAGGTTTACTGTCACGTCAACACCCTCCTGAGTTGCTGGCCACGGTGATAAGAGATGGGAAATCTGCATGAATCCGCAGAGCCTTGATTCTGCTACAGTTTGGGGTGTGTGTCTGGTTCCTGGACCAGGCACGGGGCACAAAGCCAGGCCAGTCTTGGGAGTGAGAGAGGTGTTCTGACCATTGTGTATAACAGTGCCTCTTCCTTCTGTCTAATGTCCCTTCTCTTGTTTTCTACCTGCCTGGACTCCTAGCCCCCTCTCCTCCCCTGCTGCTAGCCCTAAGTTCTGCAGAAGTACCCTGCCCAGGAAACAGGACAGGTAATGACATCATAGGCCTGCTGGGCCTCCGGGTTCTTCTGCCCGTGTTTGTCGTCAAGCCAGCTGTTCTGTGCGAGGCTGTTGGCCCGAGGCTCCCGCTTGTGTCTGTGGCTCTGGTGTGCTCTGTGTCAGCCAGGCATGCCGGTGAGGGCCCTGCTCCACTGTCCGCCACAGCCCAGGGAAAAGGCGGCGAGCGGGTGGCCACCCCAAGCCCCGCCTCTCATCCTGGGGCCGTTGGAGCTCTCACTGGCATCCCCACCTTGGTGTCCGTGGCATGTTCCTGCCTCCCAACGTCTTGCACTTTCCTCCCTACCCCTCCAGGTACTGTCTGCCACCCACTGTGCCGCCTGGCCCTCACCTCCGTCTCTCCCCTGCACCCCACCCCTCCCGGCCCAGCTGGCTCTCCTCCCTTGAAGGCTTTTGCCGCAGTCTGGTTCATCCGTGTTGTTTCAGAGTATCGTGTTGTGCGTGTCTTGTGTTCTGCAAAGATGACGGTCGAGCCCCCGGAGGGCTGGGGCTTCACGACTGGAGAAGCCTGGGTCCGCCCCCCAGCCCGTGGGTGGGCCTCAGAGATGGGTGTTGACCCCAAGTTTCTGGAGGAGAGGTGCCTTGGCCAAACATAACAAGCAGATGTTGTTTCATGCTTGGGGGGGGAGGAGAAATTAATGGAAACCCCCATCCACAGCACTAACTTTGTTTCTGTCAGGCTTACAAACCAAGCCTTTAAAACCCTGTAGTTTAGAAATTCAAATGCCTTGACTCTATCAGCCAGCATGTTCCAACATGCCCACCAGGCTCCTGTCCAGGGCTCAGCTCCTGGCTACGCCCTTGCCGGGCAGGAACAAGGAGACATTGAGAGGGACCTGGAATTTACTTCATCACACATGAATTCCAAGTATGCAGACGGCTGCTGCCTCTTGAAACTCTCCAATGAGTCTCTGCCCCTTCTTGAAACCTCTGCCAGGGGCCATAGGGTTGCAGGAGAGGGACTGGGGGGGGGTCACAGGTGGGGGCCTAGGGCGGCACAGGCCGTGCTTGTAGGTGGCCCAGCCCCTGCCTTGACTTTGAACCTGCGGAGAAGGAGGAACGATTGGGGTTCATGACTCGGGCCACCTTGTGATGTGGGGTAAAGTACGCAGTGGCGCAGGTGCAGACAGGTTTCTTTTACGTGCTGTGGGGACGTTCTGCATGCACGGCTGGGGGGGGGTCCTCAGGCCCCTCCCTAGCCTTCCCTCTCCCTCTGCCTCCTGTGCTTCTCTGAAGTTCTTGATTTTGTTTTAACTTTCCTACAGTGACCCGCACCTTGATAGGAACACTTTGCCTAAGAAAGGACTCAGGTATCTGTCCCCTCCTTGCACCCGTGTCATCTGTTGTGGCCGTGGAGCTTGGCTGTGTCGTGCTGTCATAGCTGGTGGGGCTGGGCTGGGCTGGGGGGTCCTGGCTTTGGCCACCGCAGCTGGGTTTCGGATGACAGACCCCTCTCCTCCTCATCCCTCCATTTGTGGCTTACTTGCTTGAGCACGGTCTGTGCTTTGTGAAGCTTCATGTGACGTAGCCATCTCACAGCCGGCCGCAGCCTGGAGCTGGGAGCAGTGACCGCTCCTGGGGGCCAGCAGGAGGGACGCTGGGCACTTCATGAATGTCTGTACGCACAGCCGCTCTCAGAGGAGAACATGACTTACAGCATGCTGCTTTCTTAGCTGCCCCCATTTAAAACTCCTAGCTTCTCCCAGACTAGAGAGTCAGCCTGCCATGCATAAGGTTATGGGTCTAATCCCCAGCGCCACCAAATAATAGCAGTAATAATTAATAATAATAGTTCGCTTGAAAAAATAACCTTTGTGGCTATAAAATGCTGAAAGAGTTCTCTTAATGTCCTAATCAGTGATTGGGTCGGTTATCAACACCTACCAATTCATGGATATGATTGTTTTTGGTGGAAAGTACAAAAAAAAAAAAGAGAGAGAGAGAGAGAGAGAGACCACCAGAAAAGAATGACTTTCCATGCATAGTAAGTTGGGCCTGGGCCGCTTATCTTGGTGAAACAGGATGCTCTAAGTCGACGTTGCTCGGATCATGTCCATCACATCTCCAGCCCGATCGCTCCACTTTGCTCACACGCCCCGTGGACTTCTGAAAGTGCTGCTTCCCAAAAGCCTTGTTATCTGTAGCCTCGGCTTCACCCTGCACTGCGTGCTACATTCTTTCCCTTGAAAAAGCAACTTGGAATGAAATGTCTTGTTGTTGCTGTCTTGTGTGTCTCTAGTTAGTAGCCCACAGCTCTTCGAGACCCAGAACTTTTCAAAGCTTATTAGCATGGGTATCAAGACAAGAAGGCTCGTGTCCGTGCCTCCCAGCAGAGTTCTGCACCACGGCCTTGTGTGTCAGCTAGATATGCAAACGAGTGTTGGATGCCGCCATCGCCCCTTGAGTGAGACTGGGTCTTACAGAGCCCAGGCTGTCCTTGAACTTGCTATGTAGCCGAGGTGACCTTTGAACTTAGGATCCTCCTGCTTCCACTTCTTAAGTGCTGGAATTGCCAGCGAGTACCGACATACCTAGTTTTCGCTGTGCTGCATGTAGAACCCATGGCTTCCTGTGCCCTAAGTATGCACTCCACCAACTGAGCCGTTTTCACAACCCACTGTTACCCAAAGAGGGAGCTAATGTCTAAATAGTTACCTTTGGAAATACTGTGCTCGTGTATGTAGTAGATCTAGTAATGTTATATGGTCCTGAGTTTGTTTATCATTTATTTTTGGTGTTGGATTTTTGAGACAGGGTTTCTCTGTGGTGGCTGTCCTGGAACTCTCTGTGTAGACCAGGCTGACCTCAAACTCACAGAGATCCACCTGCCTCTGCCTCCTGAGTGCTGGGATTAAAGGCATGTACCACCACCACTCCACTAGCCCCGGATTTTTAAAATTGATTGTCTAAGCATTTAGGATGGGGCTGTGTGACAACTATTCACAGGTACTCAATGCACCTAAATCGGAGGGTGCCCCGACCATGTGGACGGTGCAGCAGTCCCAGATGCTGCCTGTGAGAAAAGTAGGAAGCGACTAGAGTTTTGCAGTCAGACAAGCATGAATTAGAATCTCAGCTCTGGCCCCCAGCTTCCCAGAGCATATAGCAGGACCCAGTGTTACCTCACTGTTAAATCTAAAGCCTCCGGGAGATGACGCCCATAGAGGCACCCACCCATCAGAGATGCTCAGTAAATATTCCAGTCCGCTTTTGGAATGCCCAAGGAGTTAGACCGCATGACTTCTGAAGGCTCCCCATATTTAACACACACCAGTATGGGGCTGTCTTCATGAAATCTGTCAGTGCTACATTGTAGCAGTTGAGGGTCTGGGGATGTGTGTTTGACTGCTTTTGTAGCAGGCGGTGAGAAGCCCTGGGTTCAGTGTCGTGGCGCCGCCCCCCCCCAGTATTTTATAAAGTATGCATGATTTGACATGCCTGAAATACCAGTCCTTGGGAGATAGAGACGGGAGGATCAGAAGTTGAAGGTCATCTTTAGCTACATAGCAAGTTCAAGGACAGCCTGGGCTATACGAGACCCTGCCTCGGAAAAACCACAGCAGCCATTGTAAACACTAGCACCGCAGGGCTCTCCAAATCCACCCACTGGCCACCACGATTCCAGGCCGTTCATCAGTGTGTGCAGATAGATGCCAGCAGTCAGCTCATTAAAAACCTCCTCGAACTCCAACAACAACTCTTGCTGCTCATCCTGTCAAGGAGGGGGCTTTGAGGCGACCCTGTCATGAACTAGCATGTCCCAGTCACACCCAGGGATGCCTCTTTTGAACATTCTTAGTCTTTCTCCCTTTAGGTGTTCCCCTTAAGCTGAAAGGAATTATAATTTTCCCCAGATGCAGCCAAGTACAAAAAAATTTTTTTGAGAAACTTCATAAGTTTCAGGGTGTGTAGTGATGTGTGTCTCTCACCCCCCACCCCCGTCTTAAATATAGTTTTTCTTTTTACATAGCCCTCATCAGCTGTGGGAAATGTATTTTCGTAAGTGCTGTTCATTCCAGCCTGGTTTCTGTCTCCAGGTACACTCCCACCTCCCAGCTTCGCACACAGGAAGACGCCAAAGAATGGTTGCGGTCCCACTCTGCTGGGGGCCTGCAGGACACTGCCGCCAACTCCCCCTTTTCCTCTGGCTCTAGTGTCACTTCTCCCTCCGGAACAAGATTCAACTTCTCCCAGCTTGGTGAGTAGCCACTCTGCGGGGCAGACGCTGACTTGTGTTTTGAAACAAGCGTGTGACCACATCCTCCTCGGTATCTGATCAGCTCTCAGCAGTGCAGTCAAGGAAACGGGAAACTGCAAAAAATCTGAGTACTTTTCAGTCACATCTGGCCCCTGGGTCACGTGTGATTTAGGATGGCCACAAATGAGGCCAACGTTTACGTATGTGTGAAGGGTTTTGTTGCTGTTGTTTTGAGACAGGATTTCTTTGCGTAGCCCTGTCTATTCTGGAACTCATTCTGCAGACCAGGCTGGGCTTGAATTCAGATGCTGGGATTAAAGTACACACCACGGACTGGCATGGGAGGTTGTCATAACTCAGTTGTACTGCATGGAGTATGGACTCTGTAGATGACAGCCTCCTGTCATAAAATCTAAAGGTCAGACACACCCAATGTAGTCTTTTTCCTGCAGCGAGGATAAGTAAGATTCGAGCAGTGGCTTGTACTATCCCACTATTCAGGGTACATTAGGCTTCTCGGACCTGTGGAAAAATCAGTTTTCCAAACCATTCCTCATTGCTTTAGCAAGTGAAAAATAAGTTTTAATGAACAAGTGTTCTTTGAAATGGCTGCTGCCTACATAATGTGTTGACTGACACACTGTGTGTGTGTGTGTGTGTGTGTGTGTGTGTGTGTATGTCTGCTGGAATGCTGAGGGATTCTCTATTAGATACAGACACATAGGTGCAGAACCAACAGACAGGATATAAAAGAACAGTCCAAAGCTTTGTAGTGAATCAGCAAACAGTGGAAGAGAATTGATCTTGAGGACTATACAGTCACAGGAAGGGGTGCTGGTCTCAATGTTTAGAACAGCAGGCAGCTTTTCTGAATATTCTAGACTTTGCATTTAGTCTAATGATGTGTGTGTGTCTTGTAATCATGGGCATGTAATTCCACTCTACTGAATGCGTGCCTTTGAGTGCAGTGCGCATTGCTAACATGGACGGGACTTTGGATGAGAAAGCTCAGCTTAGCTCAGGGACGTTGCATCCTTGCCTTGCCGCTCTGTGCATGCTGTGGGATGATCCCTGTCTGAGGCCGTGAGACCTATGTTTGTAGTGTTCTTTCCCAGCCATAACTCTTTGCAGCAAGAGGTTCTTGTCATGTGCAAACGCTTCCTATCTGATCAAAAGCCTATTTGGACTATTTTGGGCTTTTGGCTTTACAGAGGATTGTTTCAGATGAACCCGGGGAGTAATTAGCTCATGCCTGGAAGGTGACACTGGCCTGCCTGAACGTGCCAAGTTGGAACGTGGGGCCCCGAGCCTTGCTTTGGAACTGACCCACCTTCCCTCCCATATTTTTAGCTCTAAGCCTGTAACTCAAATGCTGATGCGACTACCTTTTAGAAATAGACAAGGGAGTGAAGTTGGCAGGCACACACACTGCTGGCGATAAGCAGCCACTGCGTGGTACCCGGCTGGGATTCAAGCAGAAGTATGGACATCCAGTATCTCATTCTGCTCCTCTGGTTCCAGCAAGTCCCACCACTGTCACCCAGATGAGCTTGTCCAACCCCACGATGCTGAGGACCCACAGCCTGTCCAATGCAGATGGCCAGTATGACCCCTACACTGACAGCCGCTTCCGGAACAGCTCCATGTCTCTGGACGAGAAGAGCAGAACAATGAGTCGGTCGGGCTCCTTCCGGGATGGATTTGAGGAAGGTAAGGGATGGAGGAGCTCCCCCAACCTGGTCCCTTGGCATGGTATACTCGACGCTGCTCCCTCCTCTGCTCACTACAACTCTGGGGTGGGGATGAGGGGCTCTCACTAGGAAGATCTGACCCTTGGGTAACCTTTCAGGAAGCTGAGGGAGGAGGCCTCTGCAAATATTGCAGACCCTCAGCATTGACTGAGTTCTGCCCGAGGCTCCCCTCTCTCCTGGCCTCGGGCCATGACTTCTTGGCATGCATCTCCATCTTGAAGCCCAGCCGCTGGCTCACTCCGTTGGCAGAGAACTGCACTGAGTTCAGCTCCCCGTGCCCTGCAGCTCTGGGGGCGGGCAGCCCTGTTTGCATCTAGTGTTTTCCAGCTTTTCTCGAGATGTGGAGTCTCAGTTTTTACCCTTTTCCTTCTTGGGCTGGTCCAGCCACGGACATTTATAGCTTTGTTTGTTTTCATCAGCGTTTTGGAAGGAAAGTTCTGGGGGCTACTTTGTCAGCTACCTTCAACTCACTTCATTTCTCTCACCCTCTGTTCCTTCACCGGAGACATTGCCTTAGGGAGCCCCATTCTCCAAACACTGGGTTTGGGGGAGGCTGAGAGCAGGCTCAGCAAGGAGTGATAAAAGAGAGTGGAGTTGGGCTGGCCAAGGATGAACCCCAACTCTACTCCTCCTTGGGCTCAAGAGCTTAGGCAAGATACTTACCGCTTTGTTCCCTTTTCTCTATAAAAATGAAAGTAATAATAGCGTTCAGCTTATGGAGCTATAAGAGTGAAAAGATAATGCATGTAAATGTTAGCACAGTTACGTTATTGTGCGTTGTGGCCTGTGGGCTGACACCCACGTTGGTTTCCTGATGGCTGCCAGCCAAGGATGAGAATTCAAGGACAAGCGGAGCCCAGTGGGACTCTGTCTCTACTGAAACCTTTTTGGTAACAGCAGAAGAGAATGTAGGGGTGACTCATTGACGATCCCCTCAGTGGGGTATAGGCTCAGTGTACTTCCAATAAGAAATTTCAAATCATAAGGAAGGAGATTCAAGGTATAATCTTCTGCCTCTCAGCTTTCTTTCTAAGAAAAGCTTAAAGGACTTGAGTGACGGAGCACTTGCTTGTTGGCTAATCTTGGTGACTTGGGGCTCTCCCAAGATTTATGTCCCCTGTAGCCCCCAGAAGGGCAAGTTTGTAATCCCTTATATGGAAACTGCTGGGCTGGAAGATTAAGGAGGAGGGGAGCCTGGGTGACTAGGGGCCTTTCGTTAGATTTAAAGTCTGGCGATCTGTGCTGTGATGGCTCTGAGCAGCACCATAGAGCACATACCAGTCCTAAGGCAACGGAGGAGGAAATTTGTCTTAGGGTATTTTCCTAGTCCCCGATTGGCCAACAATAGATATGGTGAGTCTCCCTCTGTCCCTGGGGACAGTTCCTGTGGAATGTGTTCTGTGCTGTCCTCATCATCTGCCATGTATAAGCCTGCAGTAATCATGAAATAGTACCAAAACTTGTCCTGACAAGTATACTTGGCCCCCACAAAGGCCAGGGACCATCGAGAGTCATCCTCAGCTAGCTATCAGGCAGTCTGTGTGGAATCAGGCAGCATGATTGCAGACCATCTGGGATATCATATAGCAAGTAGACCTGCATTCCCACAAGCATCATCTATACTTTTGTAGTAACACGGTTCATGGTAACGTGGAGCCGAACTACACAGGCAGCGATGTGTTACTGCACCGCGTAGATGTGGCCTCTTCTTCTTTGGGAACTTTGCCATTCAATTGGGTTTATTCCTTGCAAGGTTGTTACATAACAGAAACAGAACGGGACTTGTATAATTGGGTTTTTAACTCCCTTGAGTGTAGTTTTTTGTTTGTTTGTTTCATTTTGACTTGATAAATTACCAGTGTTGTAGAAGAATCCAGTGCTGTAGGGGAGTCAGATCTCATGCCTGGCCAGGTAGACCATCCTGGAAATGTTTATTTTATGCTGTGAAGCAGGATTGAAGCTTAGGGAGCATTAGCACAGATGTTTGTGAGATTATGCAGTTTAGTGAGCACTTAACAACATTTGAGGCAATGGGAGTCGTAGCCATGTAGATCAGGGGCAGCCTTTTGAAGTATTCCAGGTAAGTTCAGTACCATAGACATGATATACTACCAAAGTCACCTTTGGCATAGGTACACTTAAGAGACGCTGGAGGTATCTTTAAAATGGATGTTGGGGCTGGAGCGAGGCTCAGAGGTTAAGAGCAGTTAAAAGCATGTACTACTGATGCAGAGGGTAGGAGTCTGGTTCTTAGCACCCACATAGGGTGGCTCACAGGTCCTCAATTTTGTGCCTATTGGAAGATCACACAAAGGGATTAGAAATGCATTACAAAACACACCAAAAGTTCTTTTTAGACTTAAGAACTTTTTAAGGTTGGGAGGCAAAGGCAGGCAGATCTTTGAATTCAAGGCCAGTGTGGTCTACAGAGTGAGTTCCAGAACAGCCAGGGCTACTCAGAAAACCCCTGTTTAGAAACTTTAAACTTAATTAAAAACTAAAGATTTTCTGTTGTGTGTGCCATGCCATACACGTGGAAGTCAGAGAACGGCTTTTAGGAGTTGGTTCTTTCCTTCCTCCATGGGTCCCGGGTAGAGAACTCTTGTTCATCAGGTTTGGTATCAAACACCCTTACCAACTAAACCATCTTACCAGCTCACCAGAAGGATTTTCAAAAGTGAAAACCAGGCAAGGCGTTGGTGGCGCATGCCTTTAATCCCAGCACTCGGATGGCAGAGGCAGGCAGATCTCTGTGAGTTCCAGGACAACCTCCAAAACAATACAGAGAAACCCTGTCTCGAAAAACCAAAACAAACAAACAAAAAAAAGTGAAAACCAGGACTTACCAAAGCAGGTTACTGGAAAGCAGATCCTGCACTTGAATGGTATGAGCCTTAAGCAAGTCCTGTCACTCGCGTTCCAGACTTAGACAATCTTTGTCTGTCCAGCTGTGGAATTCTGGAGGTACAGTGAGAACCACCATCATGCTCTAGTGGTTTTGGAGATGAAACTCTCACAGTCTGGGAGGATTCATGTCCACGCCCCCTCGCCCTCCCCCCCCTCCCCCAGGCTTGATTCACATCTTCAAGTTCTGCCAGCCCCAGCAATTCAGGCAAGCCGCGTTCTGGTTGGTGGGGGCTCAGAACGTCAAGGAGGTTGTTTCTTTGGATCATAGCCTTGCCGTTACCGATTTCCAAGTGAGAGGCATTAATTACAGAGCAAAGTAATGACCTCCACTTGAAACGTGCCAGATGTGCCTCCCCTGCTGAGTCCCTAAGCTGGTCCTGACTGCCGGAGACTGAAAACCCGGGAGACAAAACATAGCCAGAGTTTGTGTGCTGCTATACTGAGGCCTCCGAGCCAGCCCCGCTGGTGTGGCTGGGGGCGACTAATATGATCCCCGTGTCTCTTTTACCAACAGGCCTCCCAGGCACTCTGTCCGCTTCAGTCTGTCACACAGAAGTGCCTTGGTACTTCTGATCCCATGGGCATGTTAGCACAGAAAGCCATTATTGGCCATTAACACCTTAGCCTGCTTTTTTATGGGGTGTGAGTCAGATGAGTCATGCTTAGTAGAAAAACCTGGAGAAGATCTAGAACCTGCATTACCTGGAAGGGTGGATGTGAATTGTGGTGGAGCCCCGGCCTCAGACATAGGTTGGTTTGAGGCAGGTAGGGTTTAGAAGCACCCCCTGGGTTTAGAAGCACCCCCAGACGGAGAGCTGTACTGGCAGAGACTTGAAAGCAGCCAGCGCCATCAGGAGTGCGTCTGGGAAAGAAGCCCAGGGTAGCAGCATCGCCTTGGGTGAGAGGAATACACAAAGGAAGTGTGTGAGGTCAAGGGAGATTTATTAGACATGCCCTAGGCAGTTTCCCCAAGTGCCAGACGGAACTGTTTGTCGATATCTTGCTGGAAGACAGCTTCTACTAAGAGGGGTTGAGCATGCCGCTGGGGTGACAGGTGAACTCCGTAGTGTGTGTAGAGATGTTTCCAGCCTGTTTTGGTCATGGGAGGGCCCCTACTCTGGTGGAATGTGGGGACATAAGGCTTCCCACCAGTGGTCAGGGAAAGCTGTATCCACTTAAAACACCTTCCGTGCCTTGACACAGGGCTAGGTCTGCCTTCCAGACAAGTTGCTAGGAGGCTGTTGAGAAAATAAGAGTCAGCTTTCCTGGAAGAGGGGCAGCTTGAATGCCCAGTCCCAGAAAAGAGCACACTTCACAGTGAGAGCAGATGGCGGAAAGGCCCCTCCCGCGGGAGGTGGCAGGGATGCTACCAGTGCATGAGTGTGTTTCTGACTCAGAACCTGTGGTTACAAAGCAAGGAGAACACCCTTGTCTATCATGTGTAGACATTGTACAAATGCAAGTCCTATACTTCAGCAGAAATGTGGTTTCAACTAATACTCTGCTACAAGGCTGTCTGAATTTATTATGACCAAAGACCCTTAGATTCAAAATATTCATCTATAAGCGTCTAGTGGGGTATGAAATAAGACAGCTTTGCCACACAGTCACAACCCTGAAGAGTACCTCGGACAAGGGTGGGTGCAGTCTGAAACAGACACAGGCTGCCTCTGAAGAGCGCGGTTAGAATCTCCACAGCCACGTTGCCCCGCGTTTGAACCTTGGCTGGTATGAACGTTTGGTTACATGAATATATGGTTCCGGAGTCATATGTTATTTTGCTAGTTGAGAAAAATGTGGTACTACAAAAATGACTTCCTTAATGGATTATTTCATATCTGGCTCTGACCTGTGCACAACCCAGGAAGTATGGGGCCAAGATGACAGTCACAGCCAGGCTGAGTCAGGGGTGTCCTGAAGTGCTGGCCGCCGCCTCCTCCCTCCTCTCTTCCCTTTGCATGGCAGCCAGCTGCTCCGCTGACCCGTGTATTTACTTCCAACAGTTCACGGCTCCTCCCTGTCCTTGGTCTCCAGCACGTCTTCCATCTACTCCACGGTGAGTCTGAATCAACCTGAGTGGCTGAGCCTGTGCGCACGCACGCTGCTTTGTCAGGTGTGTGGAGAGTAATTGCAAGCATACCGTCTGCAGAGAGCATCTCCCAGTTATGGATCAACCACTAGGAGAAGCAGCTGTTATCTGGCATCCCCCTTGGGGCTGGGGAGAGGGCTCAGTGGGTGAAGGGCTTGTTGCACAAGCCTGAGAACCTGCGTTCTGATCCCAGCCCCCCTGTAAAAGCTGAGCCCCTACCTTATATCCACGTCTTCGCACGAAGCCCAGCGGCTCCTTGTCACCACAGCGAGCGCACATCAAATTCTTCCCAATTCATTAGAATACTATGCTCTTGTGTTTGGCCTTTCTGATGGGTGGATTTAATTGTTCCAGTTTATAGAATTATGCCAGAAAAGAAGCCAGTCAAAATCTAGACTTTCAGAGACTGGGGAGATGGCTCAGCAGTTATGAGCACTTGCTGCTCTTCCAGAGAGGACCTGGGTTCAATTCCCACATGGTAGCTCTAGTTCCAGGAAACCCGATGTCCTCGTCTATCCTCCATGGATACCAGATATATATATATATATATATATGCAAATACTCATACACATAAAAATAAAAAATACTAAAGAAAAAATTTCTAGGCTTTCCCAAGTTTGCAAATTCACCAGTCCCCATCAGCTGGGCTGCATTGCTCTTTTTCCTTCGTCATTCTGATTTTCTTTATGATTCGTTTACAGCCAGAAGAAAAATGCCAGTCAGAGGTAAGGAACAGTTTACAGTCGGATTCTCTTTCACTGTCAGTGTCAATTCCATCCATCTCAGTCTGGAAACGGACTACCCTCCCCACCCCAAACAAGTAACCTTACTCCTGTTTCTACCCCCCCCCTTCCCCCAGCAAGTAACCGTACTCCTGTTTCTGTAGATTCGAAAGCTGCGACGGGAGCTGGATGCCTCCCAGGAAAAGGTGTCTGCGCTGACCACCCAGCTGACTGCAAATGTGAGTGCGCATTGGAGAGCACGAGCTCACACGCGTACACGCACATCTGCATACGCGGTGGGAGCCAGGGACATCGCGGGGTGGGCCAGAGATGAAACCCAGTGGGTGGGAGGCAGGGCTGGAATGGGAGCTGAGGAGAGGACTAAGTGGACAGTACTGGACAGGGAGGGAGCCAAGGGTGTGGCGGGGTAGGATCTAGAGACAGGATATAAACAAGTGGAAACCAAGGACGGGATAGAGGAGAGACTGGAGGGTGGACAGGAAATAGCCATTGGACTCCTGAGCACTGCTCTGAGGACCTGGGTCTCTGGACACTCAAGAAGTAACTCTGTGGGCTCAAAAGGACATAGTCCTTAGTCCTGTGAACACTGATGCCAGGTGAGGTGCTTGCAGCATGTCTTGGGGTCCCCTCTGTGACGCCTGAGTCTGTGTAACGGGATGATTGCCGTCTCCCTGTGTGGTGAGGTGACAAAGGCTTGCAGTCTTTTAAGTGTTAACTCCCTTCCCTTCCCCTTCCTGAAGAACTGTGGTCTTAAGGGGGGCGGGAGCGCAGAGGGTCACGGGAAGAACGGCAGCTGCGGCTGCATCACAAATAGCTGGTGGTCTGAGGCTGCAAACACGCACAGTGCCCGCCACTGCCGGCCGTTCTCTCCAGTGCCAGCAACACGGGGCTGTGAGTCCAAAAGCAAGGCAGGCAGAATCACTGCCACCTTCCTGTGCCAGCTCAGGACCAGGAGGGAGGCACCGTGAACGAGTTCCCTGGGGCGAGATCCTTCTTGCCACGGCCGTGAAAGAAACACCAAGCTACACCTTGGTGGTGGGTGGGAGGGGCCAAGGAAGTAACACCAGAATCGGTGTCCTGTGGAAGGGTGCGGCGTCCTGACCAAAGTGAACAGTTAGCGCAAGGTCCTCGGCGAACTGTGAGTAGCTTACCTGTAGTAGCTGAGGCCGGGAGCGCCTGGAGAGACATGGGAGGAGTCAGTATAGAGGAAAGGCCAGGCACAGATGAGTGTCCGAGCGGTCGGGTGGCGCTTTGGGACTCTTGGGAGGACCCTGCCAATGTGGAGGCTAAGCTTGCTTATTTGGACCAAACAGAAGAGAGGCAAGGATCTCCCACCCTATCTGGGAGACCCACAGAGAAGCCCCACTGAGGGCGGGTCAGGGCAGGGCTGTGACCCGGAGAGGCTGAGGCTCTGAAGGCAGAGCCTGAGGTTTGGGGAGGTGCAGGGTAGGCTCCGAGGCCAGACTTCCTGCCCAGGAGTTTACAGCCCAGCCTCAGAGCAGCACATAGATCAAGGCACCAGGGTCCGTCAACAGGAGCACCCCGGGAGACAGTGGAAGCCACTTCAAAGGCTAGTCTCCTTTGACCAGGAGCGTGAGTCAGGGCTCCAGAGTAGTCATTTACCTGCAGTTCTTACCCTGCCGATTCCTGCTTGAGCCTGACTGACTCCAGGAAGTGTGACTCTTTCAAATCTGCACACGAAGCGTGAAGCGCCCTTAATTACAAGCCCGGGAAGTGTAACCCCCCTTCATCATTGCTTGGTCTCCCAAGCTCTGACTGTTTTCCCCCAAACTTGACACACACCAGGTCACTATGTCACCCTCCCCATCATCAGCATGGCTATCAAAATGGAGGGATGACTCAGCTGCTAACAGCATTCACTGTTCTTCCCGAGGACCCAAGGGAGGTTCCTAGCATTCGTGTCAAATAGCTCACAACCACCTGTAACTCCACCTCCAGGAGGTCTGACGCCCCCTTCTGACCTCTTCAGGTACCCGTGTGGTGCACACACATGTTCACACGCATGCATGTGCTCACGCATGCGTGTGCACGCGTATACACACACACACATAATAATACATCTAAGACATCATTAGAAACAGTCTCAGAGCTGAGTTTCCAGGCTTTGAATTCTTCCTGTTCAAAAAGTGGCAATGGTATCCCGAATGCATCCTCTAATTGGAAAACCCCGATGTACGCACCCGAGTCCATAACTGAATGCAGACCCAGGGAGGTGGACAGTGACCCCTGCCCCCAGGAAAAGCTTCATGATTTGAGGCAAGCCATCAAGTGCTGCCCTTGACTCTTCATCAAGTCCAAGTCGCTTTGCTTATCGGTGACCTTGGGTTAATCCCACCAGGAGCCCTGTGTTGGCCTGTGGCTACCCTCTGTACTAGAAGGACTGGAGTAAGACCCCATATATTATCCCAAAGCGCGTTGCACCTCACAAAAGCTGCTGAGTGCAGGGTGGTTTTAAAGAAAATATTTAGTCTTACCACACTCCACACTCTACCTCGGCCACTAGTGTTTTATTATCTGCCATCTTTCTCGGAGACCAAGCCGTGTTTGTTTTCCTAGGACAAGCTACTCTGAGCTGCCCTGGCCGGTGTTTTCATAGCTCTCCATTTGTTTTCCCCGGGAATGTGAGAACGGCAGTTGGCGGGAAGGCTGTTGTATTATGTTGTACAGCCCTACCTCCCAGTGTTTTCATAGCTGTGCTGCTCAGGACACAAAAACAGCCCTTTGACTCGCCAGCCACACAGGATCTCTGATCCTTCAGAGCTAAGTGGCTGCCTTCTGAGCTTGCAGACACTTTCACAGTTTGAGTAAGAAGCGCTGTTCCAGGGATCGTGGGTGACCCTGGATGCAGATGCAGACTGAAAGTGAATGCAAGTCATCCCGTTTCACTTGTTCCTCTGCTGGGTGAGGACAGCGCACTGCGCACTGACCCAATTCCTCTACCTGTTATGTCATCTTGAGTTGATTGGCTTTAGTTGCATGGTGACCTAATGCTTGGGAGACTGAGGCAGAAGGATGCCAGCTTGTGGCCAGCCTAGGCTATATAGTGACTACCAGGCCAGCCTGAGAAAGGATAGGAGACTCTGACTCAAGAAGTGGGGGGGAGGGCTTTTGCAGAAATGGCTCCGTGGTTAAAGGAACTGACTGCTCTTCCAGAGGACCTGGGTTCAAGTCCCAGCACCCACGTGGAGGCTCACAAACTGTCTGTGACTATAATTCTAGGTTACCTGACACCCTCATACAGACATGCATGCAGGCCAAACACCAATGCACATAAAATAAAAATAAATAAATTACTTAAAAAATATTTTGCCCTCTATTCAAGGTAAACTAAAGAACAGAGGCATTTTCTCTATTTCTGATATATGGAGTGTAATAGAAGAGAAACCATCTGTGTAGTCTTGCTGTGTTGGTGTTTCTGCACCGTGACAGCAGAGGGTCCTGGCCTGTCTTCTGTCTCGGTCCCATCCAGTCTAGTGAACAACGGTTGAGTCACTCTGCAGTTCTCTCCTTAGGCTGACATCCAGGTCCATTCCACAGTCCTGCCCCCTTGTATCCCACGTTTATCCTCCTCTTGGGGCATTGATGACCTTTTCCTCTGGGTTTTTACAGGGTGGTCAGGACTCACTCTCCAGACTCACCCCTGGTCCTCTGCATCCGTCTCAGCAGGAGCAGTGAACCTGTGTCCTCTATAAGAGTAGCAAGTGCTCTTAGCTGCAGAGCCATCTTTCCAGCCCAGTAGACTTGGTTTTAATGGCATTTTCAGATTTCCCCATTCAGCCAACAGATGACTCAATCAATCATGACACATCAAGTGTTTGTTACTCTCTAGTACAAACAGGCTTAGTTTGGGCATAATAATCTCTTGACCTTGACACTGCATTTCTCAATTCCAAGATATACATTGGTTTGTTTATCTGTTTATCAATTTATTTACTTATCTACCTATTATTTATTTGAGACAGGGTCTCTCTATATAGAGCAGGCTGGCCTCAAACTCATAAAGATCTGCTTGCCTCTGCCTTCCAAGTGCTAGGATTACAGGCAAGTACCACCATACCTGGCTATTGGTTTTTGTTGCTGTTGTTGATTTTGTTTTGTTTTTCAAGACAGTGTTTCTCTGGGTAGCCCTGACTGTCCAGGAACTCACTTTGTAGACCAGGGTAGTCTTGAACTCAACAGAGATTCTCCTGCCTCTGCCTCCCAAATGCTGGGATTAAAGGTGCGAGCCGTCATTGCCAAACTATTGTTTTGCTTTTAAAATAGATTTATTTTCTGTTTTAGTTGTGTGTGTGTGCGTGTGCGTGTGTGTGTGTGTGCGTGTGTTTGCTCCAGTGCATTTAGGCGCCCACTGAGGCCAGAAAAGGGCATTAGATACACTAGAGTCAAAGTTACAGGTGGCTGTGAACTGCCTCACATAGGTTCTGAGAGCTCAACTGTAGTCCTCTGCTCCTGTAGAGGACCTAAGTTTAGTTCCCAGAACCTGGATGGTGGCTTACAATCACTGGTAACTTTAGCTCCAGGGAGATCTGACATCCTGAGACACTTGCATGCATACAGTACACTTACATACATGTAGGCAAGACATTCATACACATAAGATAAAAATAAATAAATCTAAAGAAAGAAAGCATGAAGCAGGGATAAAAAAATAGAGTTTTATATTGTTACATTGTAGCATCTGAAGAGTGGATACATATTCTACTTATAGCTGGCCAATTTTGAAACTTTTTCTGAGCCTTATATAAGATGTTGCATCTGGTCCCTTGTTCTAACAGAGTATTTCAAAGTGTGCAGGAGCCTGGGGGAGACTGCCTCCCTGGGGGAGCTGGGAAAGATTTCTTCATCTAGGCAGCAGATGGTCCTTTCAATGGCTTGTTATTAATGAGGATTATAACAAGGAAAATAAGCCAGCCACTTTGTTCATTCTGCAACCGGCTTCCCGTGAGCCTGTGCTTACTTGGTAATCAGTGAACAGCAGATCCTACTGCAGTGTGCTGTGGAATCAGCCCTAAACCTCAGTCCCAGAGCCCATGGCTTTTCCGACGACAGCCTCAATGCGTGTGGAATAAAGTGGACCCGTGAAGGAATAGACCCAGACTGGTGGTGTCTCCAGTCAGACACATAAAAACAAGCTAGGCAAGGAGTGGGCAGAGAAAAGGCACCGGGCAGAGGGAAGAATGCTCGAGGAAGAAGGATTTGAGCAAGGGCAAGGCTAGAGTAAACGATCGTGATAGGCCGAACCTGTACAGACCACATGATGAGGCTCTAATAAGTTTCTTGTCTTGAGAACCCAGTCCCCCCTCGGGCACTCTGACCTAGCAGGATGATGTCACTGAGGCCTCCTCTTCCCCTCCAGGCTCACCTCGTGGCGGCCTTTGAGCAGAGTTTGGGAAACATGACCATCAGGCTGCAGAGTTTAACTATGACTGCAGAGCAGAAGGTAAGGCTGGGGGCGGGGATACCATTGCTCTGTTTCATTTCAGGTAGAGATGCAGATTTTAACACATGTCTTGGACTAGCAGGGTTTAATGTCAAGAACAGATCTGTTTTGGGTAGAATGCAGCCTAGATCAACCAGATGCTGGTCCTAGTGTCTCCTATTGGTCTTGTGGCCTCCTGCGCTCCCTGATACCCTTACACTGAGTTTAGATCCCGTCCGTGCATGGGACAGATCTGTGGCACTCCTTTGCCCCTGCCCTCCTCTGAAGCTGGGTCTGGGATGCACCTGTTACATCTTTCTCGCCTTCAGGATTCAGAACTGAACGAGTTAAGAAAAACCATCGAGCTGCTGAAGAAGCAGAATGCGGCTGCCCAGGCCGCCATTAACGGAGTGATCAATACACCAGAGCTCACCTGCAAAGGTAACATGTGAGACACGCCATAGGCAGCCTCTCACAGTACAGGATGCAGCTCCCTGCTTGGGGGAGAGAGAGACTGTGACTCAAGCTGCAGCTCCAAGGGCCGGGTACCAGAAGGCTTGCTTCTGGCCCCTGTAGAGACGGCTAGTGTAGCGCATCCTCTTCTCTGACAAATCTTAAAGAAGGAGGAAAGAAGTTTCCTATGGAGAAGCACCCCAGTGTCTTATAGCTTTTCTCATGCCTGCATGATTGTTTGTATGCGTATTGGAGGAATAGTAGAATGGGCTAATCTCTTAGTTGCCAATAGGAAGCCACCCTAGTAAATTGTTGGGTTTTGTGTGTTTTTAGTTAGTGGGCTTGCAGCTGAGTTTGCTCCAGCAATACCCGTTTGAACAGTGCCTGTGCTCTGAGCAGTATGAGTACCCAGCACTTAGAGAAGGCTTCCCCTGTGTTTCCCACACTGTGCCAAGTGCTCCCCTTTTTAAACTTGCTTTTTAAACTATGCTATGAGGACCCTTCAGGCCCTTCGCTCACTGTTGATGATGGCCAAGGGCTTTAGAGGTGGTGGTGGCTTTCCAAGGTCAAAGGTGGTTAGGAACAGAAGTGGGCCTGGACCCCCAGGCCTTCTGACTGTCCAGCAGGCTGTCTTTGGATTAGAGATGGCTCTACCCACAGGAGGAAAGCTAATTGCGAGCACGATGTCTGCCATCTCCTGTTATTTCTGTCACGGCCTCCGAAGCAGATGCTGGGCCTCCAGAGGAGCAGAGATGAAGCTGGGGTAGGGAAGGGTTCGAAAGTTAGCAATACAGAGTGGAGGGAGAAGGGTCCCGGAGGCCCAGGGAAGAGGCAAGTAGGGCAGGAACGTAGCGATCAAAGGAGGAGAGATCGCTGGAGCCCTGGGCGCCATCCCTGGCTTAGGAGAAACGGTTGAAGGAGCTCCTACGGGGGGGGGGAGGCGGCACTGCTGCGTTCAGAAGCATGTCCCCCTTCTCCCCCATCTGTCAAAACAGAGAGCTGGCATTGGGGAATGTTCCTTAGGCTTTCCAACCTCCATTCTGTAGAGTACAAGGGGCTAGATCCCACGTGAAAGAGGGCATAGCCCTCAAGGCTCTGACAACCAGCGTGTATAGAGGTATACCTCAGTACAAGTGCCCTGGAGTCAGAGGAGGCCGTGCCTCGGGACAGAAGATTGGATTCTGGGGCTCTAGGGCCGACATTCCTTGCTTTGCTCTCCAGGAAGTGGCGGCACCCAGGCGGCAGACCTACGTATCCGCAGGCAGCACTCCTCTGACAGTGTCTCTAGTATCAATAGTGCCACCAGCCACTCGAGTGTGGGCAGCACCATAGAGAGTGACTCGAAGAAGAAGAAGAGGAAAAATTGGGTGAGTGCACATCCCTAGACTCCCCCAGGGACTGGCTCCCGGTGTCCCCAGAATAGGCATCCACCGATAAAGCCCAGGCTTCCTCCTGACCTCAGGACCACAGACCTTGGAGGGTAGATCCAAGGAAGTGGCCTTTTAACCAAAACCGACGCTGTGCTCAGCAAAACAGTGGCATTGACCAAGCCCCACGCTGTGGTCTTTCTCTCCATGAGACCGTGTGATGTGTACGTCTTTCATTTCATGTATATCTCATTTCTTTCTCATCTTACACTGGCCACAGAGTCCAGAGCTTAGTGAATCTCATTATTTCTGTTCACTGCTTTGCCCTTGGTCCTGGGGATGAAACTCAGGGACTCCCGCCTGCTCCACTCCCGAGCTGCAGCCTTTGGCAAAACTACTCATAAGTGGTTTCTTAGCAAGTATCAGTAGTTATCTCAGCCTTAACCTTAGTCTTCACTTGTTTATTTACTTACTTATTTATGCAACGCCTCACTCGATATATGAGCCTAGCTGGCGTTGTACTCACTGTGTAGACCAGGCTAGCCCCAGTTTGCAACAGTTCTGCCTTTGCCTCCCAATTGCTTAGATTATAGGTGTGTACCCACCACAGGCCAGCTATTTATCTGTGTAATTGCCTTGGATAATATCAAACCAGCATTCTTACTGGAAATTCTGTAATCATGGTCTATGAGTTATGTTTCATAGAGCTAGTGTTATGGGTCAGTGGCCCAAGCTGAGGCTTGTGCCTCAGAATGTTAAGTCTAATACAGTCGCTACCCATAATCCAAAGATGCTCCTTGATTTTTCTGCCTGGAGTGCCGAAGGCTGCTCTCTTTACTGCGAGCAAGTCCCAAGCACTTCCGCCCCGTTTCAAAACTGCCGTCACAGCTTCAGGGCAGTGAGGAGGTTTGTTGCTCCCCAGGGACACCCTGGGTACATCTGAAGTGGCCAGCACTCACCAAGTCCCATTGTTAGCTCTGGCACTGCCCTGCTTCATGGTAGCTTCATATCCTCCATCCCATATACGTCTCGCTCATCTTGAATCATCTTGGATGGGTGGCGAGGTCTAGTTAGCAATCGGGGTTTCATGATGCTGGTCACTGGTAACTCACCTTGGCCGTCTTCATGCCACCCTCTTATTACTCTGGTTAGCTTTCTTCCTTACGTAACTAACAGTTTTTCTTAGCGACTTGTTTATTGTAGCTAGGGAAGAGGAGCACGTGTTGCCATCTCTAATGTGCGGTTGATAAATGCAGTCTATTCAGACTCTCAAAACGGTGAGAGAATTATCTGTGAAGAATACAGGGCCAGCGAGATGGCTCAGCGGGTAAAGACGTTTGCCGTGCAAGCCAGATAGTCTGAGTTTGATCTCTGGAGCCCACATAAATACAGAAAGAGCTGACTCCACACAATTGTCTTCTGCCGGCACACATGCATGATGGCACACTCGGTGCCCGCCCCCAGCACAACACATACATACAATAACAAAATGACTAGCAGCAATAACAATAAAATTTAAGAAAAGATAAGGAAAAATCCTGGCTGTTTCCTTCCAGCCAAGAAATGAAACTTGTTTACGTTGTTTCTAGACATTTCTCCCTTCTCCATGAAGCCAGGAAGGACGGATAACAGGCGTCTTCCGCTTACCTCAAAGCTTAACTCTGTCTAAATTTTGTAATGTCCTCTTTCACCTGGTCCTTTAGCTCTCTGACTTGCGTGGCAAAGCCTGGTTCTCTGACTGCTGTCTGCAAACGGGAGCTCCAGTAGACAGCAAGAGAGCAGTGAGCTGGACGAGCAGCTTGTCAGAACCAAAACACATCCATTAGGAAAGGCCTCATGGCTCACTAGTGGGGAAATCCCTAGGATATCTCTTCAGAAGGAGGAAAGGTCCCCAGAAAGGGAAATGACTCCTAAAGTACCTGTTTTGGAGACCAAATATGATTATTTTTGTTTGGAGCCTAGAAAAATACATGCTGGTCGTGGCCCTTGGAGAATTTTGTTTAAGTCTCATGTTCCCGCCAGAATTTCCATGTCTGCCTGGGGGGTGGGGGGGTCGGGGAACGGCCTTACCCCGTTCCTGTTTTTTCCAATGTAGCTAATGAGTTTCGTAGACAGCCGTGGAATTCCCGAGTGACAAGTGAGGTAGCCAAGCTCTGTGCTTGTTAGAGTGTGCTCCTCATGGCAGGAGAGCAGGAACCCCTAAGCGGACACCGCAAAGAGCTGTGCAGACTCAAGGAGCCATAGACGTCACTCCTCCATGGCTGAGGAAATACGATGTGCCTTCCCGCTGCTGCCCCGACACAGGAGACGGTGGAAAAGAGGCAGGGAGATGATCAGACAGAAGGGAAAGCAGGGAAGCCATTGCAAGTGAGGAGAAGCCGGGAAAGCCCTGGCTGTAGGGAGCCCCTCAGCTTGCTTTTGCCTTCCTCTTATGACGGAATAGGATGCTCCCCGCATCCCACCCCCCACCAGAAGCCTCTGTGTGGCGTTCATCATGAGCCATGTTGCATCTGAAAAGTCGTCAGCTTTCCCTGTCACTGGCTTTCTCTGTTAAAAATTGTCTTTTTTCCTTCCCCCTTCCCTGTTTTTTCTTTTTCTTTTTTTTTTTGCTTGCATTTTCCCTGGCAGGTCAATGAGGTAAGCGAGACCAAGTTTACTACCAGATACCAAGCTAACCCATCCATTGATATGACTAACCTCATCTGCATCTGTCCCCACATCCGAGCATCCTGCTTTGTTACTGTGTAACCTCATGCTCCCACACGCACCCGCTGAGCCAGGCTCTGTCTTGCTGTTGGCATCTATTCTGGAACGAAGAGTAGGCATGGAATGCCCCCACAGGCCCATCCCGAGCTGTCGATGCCAGATAACTCGCCTTCCCTGAATGCACTGATTCCACAAAGCTGCCGGGTGCCTGTGCCATTGATGGGGGGAAATGTGGTCCAGTCAGTTGCTCTTTTGTAAGCATGCCTCTCTACCCGGGCCCCACCTCTGCGAGGCTCACCATCTCGCGTATTCAGTTGCGCAGCTCCTTCAAGCAAGCTTTTGGGAAGAAGAAGTCCCCCAAGTCAGCATCCTCACACTCAGACATCGAGGAGATGACGGATTCTTCATTGCCTTCCTCACCAAAACTGCCACACAACGGATCCACAGGCTCTACCCCGTTACTGAGGAATGCCCACTCCAACTCTCTGTGAGTCTAACAGACAATACCTCTGGCTCCTGCCCTAGTTAGGGTTTCTAAGAAAAGACACCATGACCATAACAGCTCTTTTTTTATATTCATTTATGTTTTTGGCGGAGAGTGGGGGTGGGGCAGTGGGGGTGTTTCTGAGACAGGGTTTCTCTGTGGCTTTGGAGCCCGTCCTGGAACTAGCTCTTGTAGACCAGGCTGGTCTCGAACTCACAGAGATCCGCCTGCCTCTGCCTCCCAAGTGCTGGGATTAAAGGCGTGCGCCACCATCGCCGGCCCGCAGCAACTCTTATAAAAGGAAGCATCTAATTGAGGTGGCAACTTACAGTCTCAGAGGTTTAGTCCATTATCGTCATGGTGGGGAATGTGGCGTAGTGCAGACAGACGCGATTCTGGAGAAGGAGCTGCTACATGTTGCTCTATCTGCAAGCTGCAGGAAATAGACTGTCTGACTGGGCGTAGCTCGAGCACATCTGAGCCCCCAAAGCCTGCCCCCCACAGTGGCTGATCCCAAGTCGGCTTAGCCAGCCCCTCCTGAGGGCTGGAGCCTGCGCAGTGTCCCTAGCTCTACCCAGGTGCTCAGGAAATGCAGATGGACTGGCAGACTGATGTGTGGAGGACAGGCTGGGGAAGACAGCACATAAATTAACTCATGCCTTTGACTACCCGCTAGTGAAGCAAAGGGTCTCCCTGGCGACCTCTTCCCCATCTTTTGGGAGGAACCCAGGTGGAAGGACCTGAATTAGGAAAGGGGCAGGATTGAAGAGCTGGCCCAGTGTGTCCTCGTCTTGCTGTCTCCTTTAGAATGGGAGGAGAGATGAGCTCCTCTCACATGGCCCAGAGGGCCCCCAAAGTGCAAAGGCAGGACAGATGTCCATCTTCTGCCCCAGAGTGTCTTCAGTTTCCTGACCAGAGAGGAAGGAGCCCTCTTTGCACTCGATTCCTGGTTATGAACTTGGTATACAGTGGACCGCAAGAACGGGCCATTGAGTCTGATATTCCTTAGGGATTAAGGCCTCATTTATTCCTTAGGGATTAAGGCCTCATTTGCCTGCCATCGCAGGGGAACTGTGGTCTGTGACATATGTCCCCACACGAAGCAATCCAGTTTATTCCGCTCCCAGTCCCCTAGCCCCCTCACCAGGACCATTCCTAGTTCTGTTACACCAGTGTCCCAGACGTTTATAATCCCTGTTGGGCTGATCTCATCTACTGCGGATGACAGACACTAAGAGAAGCCCAGAAAATCCAGGCAGTTTGTCCCAGTGGTAACTTCTAAGAGTGAATGTGGGGTGCAGTCACTTTAGATGGGGGGGTGGGTCCCTCTGTGTGGGGCATTCCAGCAGAGAGCTTTGCCATAGAAGGAACCACTGGCTCATTCTGGTCAGGAACCCTAGCAGCTGTGACAGGCCTGATTCTGAAGCCCAGTAGCGTCACACAGCTTTCTTCCTAACCCTGGTCAGCTGATGGAGAGCCTCCGCCCCGTAGGCGGTGCTGTGTCCAGCCCGGTCAGGAGAAGGGTACGTGTACAAAGTCCCGTGGGATGGTTTTGTGGGCCAACCTTCAGGAGGCCCCTGTCTGCTCCTACAACTGCCCACTGTCTGGAATCCAAGGCCCTACTGCCTTGCTAGGGAATAAGCCAAGAAGGCAACGGGCTTTGGTGGTCATGGGTCAGCCTTACACTGAGCAAGGCTGCCTTCCCAAGTCCCGACCCCGACGTGGAAATGGGCTGGTAGGGCTGAGGGTGGTGTGGTGGCCTGCTTGGGGTAGGACGGTCAGGGACCAGCATGGCGGCTGAGGCTGGAGACGGGTGGCGGGCGCTATAACGTGCAGAGCCACATCTGATTTCAGGTGTGACAGCCAGTGAGGCACAGGGGAATTTTAGGCAGAAAAGTGACGGAGTCTAAAGTTCGAACTCTGTGGAGAGCAATGTGAGACACGAGGAGCAGAGGGAGATCACAGAGGCAGCAGCGTTTTTCCAGGCTCCGCCTGCTCTGCCTTTCGAGCCCCTCCGTCATACCCCTCTCCTCAAAGCCTTGGCTACTGCCCCGCCCCCGCCCTGCGCAGCGTCCCTTCTCCCGAGTTATACACTCCTCATGTTTCTGCTCAGGCTGACCTTATCCGTAAAGTCCGGCCTGATCTACCGTTCATGAGGGAGCACACACCGCCGCCCACCCCCCTTCCTCCATTTTCTTAGCTACCGTTGCGCATATCCGTCCTACGCAGTGATTTTTCCCGGGTTTTTAGTTCTCGTCTCTCAGGCTACCCCGGCTGTGTGCTGGTGGGTACTCTGCCTGTTCAGAGGCACTCAGGTGTTTGCCGAGATGGCTGAGTGGCTGACGGGAGGCCCAGGTGAGGTGGGGTAGGACGCTTGCTGCTTCTCCTATTGCTGTGACCGGGTTAGCTGACACGAAGCAACCGATGAGAGGAAGGCCTTCTTTGGGTTTGTAGTTTTTAAAGGTATCGTTCATCACAGCGGGGAATGTGTGGCAGCAGGAGCGTGAGGTGGCGGGGTCAGGAAGCAAAACTGTGGACGGGAAGCAGGGGCTGAGCCATGAAGCCTCAAGGCCCACCCCGCAGTGTGACAGCGTCCAGTTCTAACTCCTGACGGTCTCCCGGCCTTCCCAAACAGCAGGCCCAGGTGGGAACCAAGTGTTCAAGCACAATAGCCAATGTGAGGTCACCTCACACTCAAACCGCAGCTGCTGGCCACCCAGGGCCTCCTCGGGAGTCAAACGGCGTGCGAGGTGCCTAGGCGGTGTTCAGTGGAGGGGTCAGCCAGCCCTGGAGCTCCTGCGTGTGTCCATGTGGGAGCTTTCAGTTGGGTGGAGTGGAGATGGGGGAGCAGGGGGCAGGGAGCAGCTCTGAGGTGCTGACGTTCAAAGTTCAGGAAGAAAAGGCAGAGCAGCCTGTGGGAGGAGCCCCGGGAGCAGAGGGAATAACTAACTGCACCAGAGAGGGAGAGGTAGTAATCGGAACCTGGCCGCATGCCTCTGGGTGGCCTGTCCGAGAGGCCGGGAAGAGCTGCAGCATCAAACGCCAGGAGCGAGATGGCGCCTTCCAAACCACTGCTCCCCACAGGAATAGGCAGGGCTGGCTCTCCCCTCCCTGGCCCTTTTCTTACGTTCCACAGCCTCCGTGGACATTAGAGATGTTGGTTTGGGGTCTGGTTTTCCAAAGGGTGGGCTGAAGGCAAATAACTTAATTCCCAACCTTGAAAGGTTTGTGAAAAAACGTGCAGATGCAGATTGGAGAGGGAGTTCAAAGATGAAGCCAAAGGCAAGAGGGGTAGGCGTGGAGAAAGAAAGCCCTCCTCTGCGGGTGAAGGCATGGCAACTGTGAGGAGGCCGCATTTCCCACACTCCACGCATTTGCAGTTGGGTATGCCACCAGCCCACATCTGGAAAGACAGGGAGATAGTAGAAAAATGCTCTAGGGGCCAAAAACCAAACAAAACCCCACATGCATCAGGTCACTTTAGTTCATGGTATCTGAAAGAGAAAGACCTACTTTGATTGCCTGCTGGGAATAGTCCAGCAACCTACAGTTAAGTGATCCCCCCCCTCCAGATTTCATCCTGAACTGTCACACTTAAATCGTGTGGCCGTGGGTACGATGATGGCTCTGTGCCTCATTTTCTCCATCTTAAAATTGGACTCATCATGGCTGTGTGAAGGTAATCGAATAATATGCTTCAGATACCTCCAGAAAAACACTGCTGCATACCTACTGTGTGTTGGTGGGCGTGACTAGACACTAGGAATGATTTGAGAACAGTCTAGTTCTAAAAGTTGTAGTGCCAAGTAGAACGAGGCAGGGAAGGAACCAGGGGAAAGAAGAAGGCACATTGTTCTTCCCTTTTCTTTTTTGTTTGTTTGTTTTCAGGACAGCATTTCTGTGTGTCATAGCTCTGGCTGTCCGTGGAACTCGCTCTGTAGACCAGGCTGAGCTCACTCTCAGAGATCCGCCTGCCTCTGCCTCCTGAGTGCTGGGATTAAAGGCGTGCACCACCACCGCCCGGCTGTTTTCCCCTTTTCATCTTGTTTTCTGTAGCTGTGGCCTTGTAGAATAGATGGGATGAGTTATAGGCTAGACATTCATTTAGCTCACAGATAATGTGCGTACGCCAGCCGCTGCTTGGCGCCTTTGGATGGCCTTTTCGCTGGGTCATTGCGTGGTCGGGGTCTGGAGGGCCTTCAGGCTAGAGCAAACCTGCTTACTTAGATCCACCCTTCATCTCTTGTAAAGCCACTCATTCAGTCCCCGGGCCCCACTCTCGTGGCCTTGTCTAATACTAGCCGCCTCCCCCAAGGTCCCACCTCCAAACATCATTAAACCAAAGCTTCGGGACTAAGTCTCAGGGTGAGTTAGGGAGAACACAGACACCCCGCCCCTTTTCTGGAGGTCCTGATTGGCCAAGCCTTGCAAAGCAACCTGAGTTGCAAGGGTCACAAAGTAGGTATTAAGAGAGCTTCCAAGAGAAGAAGTACAGGCCATGTGACAACACCTTAGTAGGGTTCTGAGTTGAACGAGGGATCAGACCTACTAAAGCTTGTGGGAAGGCCTGGAGAAGACTCCACATTCTCAGCAAGAACTGGACTTGAGCCTGTCTCCTAAACTAAAAGCATGATTCCGTAATTCCACCCTGAAAACTGCAGGCCTCTCCGAGCACAAAGAACTGGCTGGGTAAAGGGTCTTTTGATTTTGAGTTCCACAGTCTTTGGCCTCTCACAGATTCAGAAGAGGGGTAATAACGTTTTGGGGAGCTCTTGTGTTTGGCTGTTTTTTGTTTGTTTTAGTTTTGGTTTTTAATTCAAGAAGGTACTGAAGTTGACATGCTTCCTCGGTTGTTAGTGACTTTTTTTTTTTAATTTTTAAGACAGGTCCTTATTCTGTATCCAAACAAGTCATGATCTTCCTGCCTCAGCTACCTAAAACATTCCAGGCAGGCGCCTCCCGCCTAGCTTGCTAGTTGGTAACTTTTAAGAAGTAGGACGTGGCTTTGTTACTTCGAACAACCCACATCCTGGTCAATTAAACGGCTCTAGAAAGACAGTTTGTGTGTTAGAATTCCTCCCAGCCCTTGCATCTCCTTGACCGTCTCTCCTCTGAGCGTCTTCTGCTGGCAACTGAGGTGGCTCCCTCAGCCCGTTTCACGGGTAGGTTTTGTTTGGCCTCCAAGCTAGCGCCTGAGTCTTAGGGAATGGCTGCCATGGCCACCACCTCCCAAGCCAAGCACTCTGTCTCCCAGAAAGACATCAGCTCCAGCTCCGAAGCTTAGGGGGATTTGGTTTTCTGAGTTTTTTTTTTCTCTCCCATCTTCAATCCAAATCTTTCCCTACCACCCAATATCCTTAGTCACAGGACTATATTTTAGTAGAACTGGTCCTTCCAATGGCTGCAACTTAGCACAGTTTTTTAGGTCTTCAACCTCATACTGACTTGCAAGAGTTCTACAAAAAAAAAAAAAAAAAAACCCTTAGCAACTGAACAAGGAGCCCTGCCTTGCCCCTTGGCTAGAGTAGACACTCTTTGTTCTGTTGTGAGAAGGTGCTCCAACCTTCCTAGACACTCCAAAGAGTGAGTTTCCAGAATAAAAGGAAAGCTCAGATTAGCTCCGTCTCCTCATGTTCGGATCACTTTCTTCCCTCCGCCCTCGTTTGCCCTTGAGTTTCAGATCTTGATGATTTCATCACTTCTGAGAGGGATGAGGCTGTCTGCCCTGGGAAGTGCTCATCCCGCAAAGGTTACAGCTCCCGTCTACCAGGTCCCAGTTACCCTCCTTTGGTGTAATCAGGGAAAGATGCAGTGGTGTCTGCTGCCCTGCACAGGTTCAATAGCAGTCTATCTACTTTGGATGCTCTGGGTGTGATCCTCTTGGGAAAGCAGTAGAGGCTGGAAGAGGGGCTGATGTGTGTAAACAGCAATGGCTGTGACGGTGCCGAACGCCGTAATGACCTGGACCACTCTGGGAGGGGGCAGGTGAACTCAACTGGAGCTTACTTTTGCCGGCAACCTCCTCTGTCCCTAGAATTTCCGAGTGTGTGGACGGTGAAGCTGAGACAGTCATGCAGCTGCGAAACGAGCTGAGAGACAAGGAGATGAAGCTGACGGACATCCGCCTGGAAGCGCTCAGCTCCGCCCACCAGCTGGACCAGCTCCGGGAGGCCATGAACAGGATGCAGGTGAATAGATGGCAAACGGAGCTCCGGGAAGCCTCGAGAGTGGCAGCTTGGGGTAGCCGGGGTGCACACGAGTGTGCTTGGCTCCACACTGCCTCCTCCTCCAGAGGTGGCGCCCTCCACCAGGCCTTCAAGCCTTGCAGCTGTCCTGTCTGGTCTTAGCTTCTTCTGCCTTCCCTAGCCCTACTTTCCACATGCTACTCAAGTGGGGCTGTGATGAGTGGCTTTGGGTCCCTGCAGTCTATTTCATGATAATCCTTCCCTGCTGAGTAGCCTCTGTCTATGCAAATGGGACCCCACCGCCAAGGCTCCACCCAGGCCTCATCCCAAACCTCACTTTGTCCTGCGGCTGGAAGAGCCAGTGGCTTCCTTTGAAGGTGGCTGCAGACTGGTTCTTGCCAGCCCTGCCTTCTGCTGTGGACCGAGAGCTGCATTTTGCGCCTAGGTTTCCATTAGCATGAAGCTCTCTATGGACAACTGTAGAGTGACAGACCCCTGCAGAGTGTGCTAAAGGTGACCTCACCGGAGAGCAGCATCCCCAGGAACATTCCCTGGAACCGTGAGAGGCTCTGTGAGATGGGGGCTGCTCTGTAAATAGCATGTGCACGAAATATGTGCCCTTCTCCAGAGCGCAAAGCACACAGCTCCCTAGAGCTCTGACAAGTCCTGGAGTTGAGAAATCTGCCACCCCAAGTTCTCAAACCTCTTTGCTTGCCAGGCTCTTTGACACTGGCCACACAGGCAGCAGACCCTGGCAGAGGCAATCTCTGAACACTCCCTAAAGACCAATTCTCCAGGAGGAGGGGCCAGCCCTGCCGGAGGAGCGTTGAAGAGCGGGGGAGGTGGGGCATGCTGTGGGGTCTCCCCAGGGGCGTGCCTGGTTTTGGCTGGCCTCGCTACATGGCTCCTGCAGATTCTTCCCCCAGAGAAGGCAAGTCCCGTTCATCGCCTCCGTCCATTAAGTGTGTTTCTCGCTCACGTTTTTCACAGAGTGAAATAGAGAAGCTGAAAGCCGAGAATGACCGACTGAAGTCCGAGTCTCAAGGCAGCGGCTGCAGCCGGGCCCCCTCTCAGGTGTCCATCTCCGCTTCCCCAAGGCAGTCTTTGGGCCTCTCGCAGCACAGCCTGAACCTCCCAGAGTCCACCAGTCTAGGTGAGCGGCTAGCAGCCTGGGGGCAGGACAAGTCCACTAGCCCGGGAAAGTGGCTCGTAGGACCAGGAGCAGGCCATGAGCACCAGCCTGGGGACATGGCTCACAGGCTGGGGACAAGCTGAGTCTATCAGTCTGGGCGAGCGGATCGTGGGGCTCTGGGCAAACCTAGCCCACCAGCCTGGGTGAGTGACTCACGGGACCAGGGCAGGTGGAGGCCTGCAGCTGGCAGTCCAGTCTCCAGGAGGAGCAGGTCCACAGATCCGATGGTGAGGTAGCAGGTGTGTGTGCACTTGGGGTGTGTGTGTCTGGGTGTGCATCTGCTACCAACATAAGCCCAGCCATGAGAGTGCTCCATGCTTTGCTCCAGCAATCCTGAATTCTTCAGACCACGAGCCTACCACGCTGAGTTCTGCTCAATCCATCCTGAGAAAGTTGGTCTGCGGGCCCAATGCTCGTGTACCCCTCGGCAGCTGGTCCTACGGAGGCTTCCAGCCTCCTGACCCTTGGGGTAGACTTCAGGCTGGCACGTCATCCCAGAATGCACCTTGAGTTTCCTTTGTGAGCATTTCAAGGCTGATGCTTTTATTTTATTTTATTTTATTTTTTACCCATGACGCCGCTGCTGTTGTTGTTTGAGTCTCCCTGGCACACATTTCCATCCGGCAAGATGCCTTGTCAGCCTGCTGGCTCCCTGGTCTCCCCGCCATCGGTTTCTGTATTGCATTATCCATCCTACCCTCTCCCTCCCCACCCCACCCCGCCATCCCTGCACCCTGACACCCGGGTTGTCCTGCTGCTGTGCCCGCAGGCAGCAGGGGTGTCGGGAAGCAGCGGCTTTGCCGTCCCCCCGCGTGCCTAAGGCTGTTGATGTTTTCCATTCGCAGACATGTTGCTGGATGACACTGGTGAATGCTCGGCTCGGAAGGAAGGAGGCAGGCATGTTAAGATAGTTGTCAGCTTTCAGGAGACAATGAAATGGAAGGAGGTTAGTTGGCTCGCTCTCCCTGCTCACCTGCCCTCTCCCCAGGTAGAAATGGCCCAGCTGGGCCCCTGGAAACCGATGGGAAATACCAGCCCCTTCCTTGATACTGTAGTCTCCCTTACTCACAAGGGGTGCATTCCAAGACCCAGGGCATGCTGACGTGGTAGAGTATTCTGGACCCAGTACATGCTGTGTTATGCTGTACATGAGTGTGCATGATGGAGTTTCATGTCTAGATTCTGTAAGAAATCAGCAAGGGGAGCTTTGTGATACAACTCAGCAGCCAAGGGTTTGCTAGCATGTACAAGACCCTAGGTCCCATACCCAGCATCACGTTCAAAACAAGACAAAACAGAGAGAAAAGAAATTGTAAAGATAAAGTAGAATACTTATGACAGTATTGTAAAAACAGAAAAGGAGACCTCTGCTGCGTGGTGACTCCTATACCCACAATCCTTGGCACCCCTTATACCCACAGTCCTTGGCACCCCTTATACCCACAGTCCTTGGCACCCCTTATACCCACAATCCTCAGCAGTCCCCGCTGGCCCACACTCCTTGGTAGTCCTTATACCTACAATCCTTAGTGGTCTCTCCCGTACCCACACTCCCTGACTATCCTATGATATAAAGCAAGCAAAGAACACTTCATTTCTTTGTTTAAAAGATCGGTAAAGCTTGCCAAAAGCAAAAAACAAACAAACAAAAACAAAAATATCCAAACATTGTACTTTCAGCACTAGGAAACACTAATGCCCTCAGAAATGGCTTTTCTGGGTTGACTATTTTCCTGAAGTATGTCCCAGGCAGCTATGAACATTTTCTTGGTAAGGCAGAAGAGGAAGCTAATTGGACTTAGCCCAATGCTGTCTTTTCAGGGGCTACAGACATCACATTCACCGACCCAAGAGACAGAAGGCCCTTGGCTGAGTCTAGGGAGCACAGGGGGCTCAGAGTAGGGTGGCTAGGGGCATCCGGAGTCACTGATGTTAGACGCTGGTGGTTCTCTGGTATGGTGTCTGCTCCCATGTATACCTGCCAGAGACTACTCTGAAGCAGAGATGGAGGGCTTGCAAGGTGAGCTGTGTTTTAGTGGGTAAGTCCTGTTGGCTGTTCTGGATGACTTTGGCCATCCATGAAAATGGGAAAAGGCCTCATGAGTCTCCATATCAAGACCCCTTGGAGTCTTGAAGGTGTATTCCATTGTATTTCTGGCCAGCATGCTACAGTTGCAGATAGTTGGGAAACCAAAGTGCCCATCAGAGCAAAGTGTCTGCAGCCAGACATTTCTCTGCCAGCTTCGTCACCATGTGGCTGACCTACAGGTGGTTTTAGAGCTGTCTGGCTGGAAAGGAAGCTCAAGAACCCAGCTAACAGAGGCCTGGCCCATCAGGTTGAAATTCATTCCCAGGGGATTCTTATAGTGCAGGCAGGTGACATCCCTACACATTGCTGGCCCTCCTCGCCATAATTCTTAATATCATAGCCGACATTCTTCGAGAACTAAAGCCATTTCCCCTAAAGCGCTGTTGTTCTGGGCCACTGGAGCATACCCAAGTGGTCACTGGCCATGGCGTTATCCCCACCGCTCAGCTAAGAAACCCAAGGCCATAAGGCTTTGTTGAAGTCAGACCCTGTCTCTCTGCTGACTCTTAGCTGCTGCGTGCCTGCGCTCGCCACCCAACCCCGCCCCTGTCCTAACTACATCCTTACAAGCATGTGAGTTATTAAAAGGCCAGCAGGATGGAATGTTTTCTCAGCATCCTTTTCACTAAGGTGATCAGTTAGCCCCTGTGGGTGTAGAAGAACAAGAAATGGGAAAAAGATAGTTGTTGGCAGTCTTCCCAGAATTTTACTAATTTTATGAATTGAGCTTGTTTTAAGTTTTGATGGAAGAAAAGTAATAAATATTGTTTTTAATTATAAGAAACCAGGCTCACACACCTTTAATCCAAGCACTTGGGAGGCAGAAGGTGGGAGGTTCTCCAGAAAGAAAGAAAAAAAAAGAAACATTCTCTCTGAAGTTCTAACAACATGACAAACTTTATTAAGTGAAATAAGAACCGGTTGAACTTAGATATGCGTTAAGTTGAGAAGATATCATTGTCTGAGTCTGTACAGCGTAGCTGAGTCAGGCAGCTGAATCACGGAAGCTTCCTGGAAAAGGTGAGTAGTTCTTTAGACAGATCTGAAAATGGGACGCCAGCAGAGAGGAGCTGGGGAGGAGGGGCAGTCAAGGACACCGATGCCACGCCCTGTGCAAAGCAGGCCTCAGCCGATGGTTCCAGGAGCCAGAGGGGTGATCTTAGTCTCCCCGGCCCTCTGCGGTTTTACCAGAGCAGAGATGGGGTTTCAGGCTGTCGCGTGGCAGCTAAGTTATGCCTGGCGTGGAAAAGGAATGGGGGGTTGCTCTCTTTTGGGAGCACTGGAATTGCCTAGGCGTCTGCTCAACCAGGCCAGAAAACAGCTAGCTGCTCCTCACCTGCGCATGTCTCCTCACCCTTAGGACTCCAGACCACACCTATTCCTTATTGGCTGCATTGGAGTCAGTGGCAAGACAAAATGGGACGTGCTCGATGGGGTGGTTAGACGGCTGTTCAAAGTAAGTGTCTCAAGAAGAAAACCACCGCTGTGGGCTTGGAGAGGGAGGAGAGCCTTGTTTCCAAAACTGCTTCCCGAGCCTACTCTCCCCTTGTCGTTACGTTGCTAGGACTTGTCCCCTGGTCCTCCAAGGCCAGCTGGTAAACGTCATTTCACAGGGGGGTCCCTAGAGCTGTGTCCTGTTCAATATGGTTTCAGTCTCTGACCTGGGGAATGAAGCCCAGGCAGCCCGTTGGGCTACACATACATGACCAACACCCCACATCAACCCTACAGTCTCTGTGCGAAGGATGCCGGGATGGCCACATCACAGGATTGGGCATTTGCCGTATCAGAAACGGCTAGGGAGTACCAAAGTGAGTTTTGGGGCTCAAGGTGATTTTTAAAGAAGCTCTTGTTTTTTTTTTTTCTTATGCCCCAAAATACATCAGCAGCACTAGGTATGAATCATATTTCCTGAGTAGTAATAGCCCTTACTTATCCCAGAGAGCACACCAAGCCCTTTGTTGCCCCATTTCACGAGACAGAAAGCAGCCTGGTGCCACCCACTTAGAAGAAGACCGGAGGTCTAGCTCTGTCATCTTACCAAACCTGACTTAGCTAGCCCACTGCCGTCGCCTCTAGCATGTGGGTCAAATGGCTTCTCACAAGGAAAATTCAGTTCTTTCTTTCTTTTTTCTTTTTGAGAATTTGTATCCGAATGCTTTACCTACATCTATGTCTGGTGTCTGGTGCCCTCAGAGGCCAGAAGAAGGCATCAGATCCCCTAGAGCTGGAGTCACTGATGGTTGTGAGCCACCATATAGGTGCTGGAAACTGAACCTGAATCCCCCAGAAAAGCAGCCAATGCTGTTAACCACTGAGCCATCTCTCCACACTCCAAACACAATGTTTTGTTTTTGTTTTGTGCGATAGGGCCTTATATGTGGCCCTGACTGTCCTGGAACTCACTCTGTAGACCAGGCTGGCCTCAAACTCACAGAGATCCGCCTGCCTCTGCCTCCCGAGTGCTTGGACTAGATGCATGTGCTCCGACACCTGGCCTGGATTTGGATTTAGTCCTTCAGACTGAATACAGCATTCTCATCATGAAAACCAGACAGGAAGGGCTGGGACAGACCAGTTCTGCCTCCTCACCAACGCCCAGCAATCTGAGGTGTGCTTGGATGAGAGAGGCAGTAACGTAGGCTCCTAGAGTCGCAGTAAATAAGGGAGTGAGGCCACTGAGGACCTGAGATGTTCCGTGGCACCATCCAGCCCCGTTTCCTTGGCAAGCTCCTGGCCTATGAGAGACCTTGTCTCAATAAATAAGGTGGAGGGTATCTGAATAACGACCCCTGAGGTTATCCTCTGTACACACACACACACACACACACACACACACAAATGCATGCACAGAGCTATGCCTACATGTGCGCGTGTGCACATACAAGTGACTTAAGGAAAGAAGATTTGTTCATTTTTTTTTCTCACTGCGTAAGAGCAGACACAGCCCATCGTGGCAAAGAAGGCACAGGGGCAGGAATGCAAGGTCATGTGACATCCACAGGTCAGAAGCAGCCCCAAGAAATGCTACCGGCTCCCTTCGTCTTTCTTAACTCAGTCTCGGACCCCGGCCCATAGAATAGTCCTGCCCGCTTTTAGGTTAGGTCTTATCACACCGGCTAACCTCACGCTTTGCTGGTTTGTCCCTAGGTGACTGCCATCACAGTCAAATGAATCCCACGTTTTCCTTTGGAAGTTGCACAGCCGTTAACCCGGCGGCAGCAGACTGTGCTGCATCTTTACTTTGAGCCAACATGGGAGGGGGGGCGGGAAGGAACTTACCGCCGGCTACCTTTTATGAATTGTTTAGCACCATCCACAGACCCTGATGCCGTCGAGATTCCAGCCCATTTCAGGGAAAGCTGCCTGGCCTCCTATGCTTGTGGTTCACCCACATTAAATCTTCATGGTCTTGCTTTTCCCCCAACCCTAAGTAAATGCATCTGCCTGTTAAGAGGCCTGGGGTTCAAGGACGTGTTTCCCAGAGTGTGTGCCGCAGTTTGGTTTCAGTTCAGGTGCCATCTGAGGAAAGAGAGGGCACCCCCGCCAATCACCCAGTGAAGATGGTAGTCCCAGCGGGTTTGAGCCAGCCCTCTGATGGGGGTCCTGCTTTATGTCTCCAGGAATACATCATCCACGTGGACCCGGTGAGTCAGCTGGGGCTGAACTCAGACAGCGTTCTTGGCTACAGCATCGGTGAGATCAAGCGCAGCAACACCTCAGAGACCCCCGAGCTCCTCCCTTGCGGCTATCTGGTGGGTGAGAACACCACCATCTTGGTGACTGTCAAAGGTGAGTGGCGGCTGGCTGGGCAGTCTCGGTGCGCAACTGTAATCCTAGCACTCGGGGAGCCAGGGCTACAGAGTGAGTTCCAGGACACTCAGGGCTACATAGAGAAACCTTGTCTTGGGGTTGGGGGCAGGGAGGCTAACAGGCTGCTCGCAGAAGCTGGCACTTTCTTCCAGGGGTCAAAGTGTGTCTGTTTTCACTGTGCGTGTGGGTGGTTTTTTTCCCCCTCTCTTACCTCAACCACCCCTACTTCGTTGCACCATCAGGAAACAAATCACTTCCGTTTATTGCTGAAATTAGACATCAAAAGGTCCCATTAGCGTTATGACTGAGCTGATGAGAGACTAATAACTCCTTAATAACCCTGTTGAAATGGCACTTTACCAAAGCAAAGCAATGAAGGCTGCTTGCCAGCCGGCCTTGGGTGTGAGCCCATTCCACGGATGGGTAAACTATGACGTACTAGAGGCAACAGGAAAGTGGCTGCAAGCATCCTGATGATATCACTCCTGCCCGCATACCCAGCTCCTGGATGTGTTATACGTTCTGGGTATCACGTTTCCTGGTCTTCCATTCCTTGTCCCTGCAGACTCATGATGATCTCATAATGCAAAATGCTTTCAGTATGATTTCAGAAAGCCCCATAGCTTTTAATACCTTTAAGACTCTTTAAAAATCCCAAGTCTGAGTCTCATCCGAGATGCAAGGCAAACTGGGAGGTGCTGTCAAAAGTAAAACCAAGTTGTATACTTCAAATACGCAATGACACAGTATTAGCATCCCCATTCCGGAACGGAGCATGGGTTATAGCTAGGGATGTTTGGACCAAAGAAAGACCGAAACTTAGTGGCCTAAAGAGTTAATCCTGCAGCTGTGCGTCAAGTATCTTGTGTTTGTGATGGAATCAGCTGGCCTCCAAGGGTTTGGGTAGCCCTGGTCCCCCACTTTTCCTGCCTTAGCACCCGTAGTCTCCCTTAAATCAGCTCCATTCCATACCTGAAGCCTTCATCCGTGGGTTATCTCATGATCCTGGCCTCTCCAGCATCCTGGGGTCGCCGTCGCAGCGTACGCTACCCCTCCATAGCTTCATGCAGTGGATTCTCAGGGATTCCCCTTGCAGAGATTCTGACCCTGTCAATCATGGCTTAGCCTCAGCAGCTCTCTAGCACCCTAAAGCAGAAATTCATGACCTCATCAGTCCTGCATCTTACCTAAGCGTGAGCAGCGTGGTGCTGGGCAGGAAGGAAAGAGGAGAGAGGAGAAGAGGCAGCCCAGGGTCACGGCAGACACAGTCAGCTGGGATAGACACTATAGTGCTAGTAAATGCTACCTCGCAGACAGGAGTCCAGAGTTAGGGGAGGGTGACTTTCTATATACAACGGCAGCGGCAGCACTGGGCTCCCGGCCTCCAGAGTGCCTGGGTGGCCAGGAGTCGTAGGACTGCCCAGAAGAGGGATGGTGCCAGAGCTACCTGCCTTCCCCATCTCCAAGCTTTCCCCATCTGGTTCCAACAGGGCTCACGGAAAACAGCCTGGACTCTCTGGTGTTCGAGTCCCTGATCCCCAAGCCCATCCTGCAGCGCTACGTCTCCCTGCTCACCGAGCACCGGCGCATCATCCTCTCGGGCCCCAGCGGCACCGGGAAAACCTACCTGGCCAACCGGCTCTCCGAGTATGTGGTCCTTCGGGAAGGACGGGAGCTGACAGACGGCGTCATCGCCACCTTCAATGTGGACCACAAGTCCAGCAAGGTGAGGAGGTCATCCTGAGCCCTGCTGTACCTTGGGCTCTTTCGATGCTGCTGGCACCACCACTGTGAGCATTTCCACGCTCTCCGTCCTAGCAAAGCCAGGAAAGGAGCTCAGAACGGGGCTTACAGGAAGGAATGCTGCCGGGCGGATCCTTCCCCGCCAGGAGCTCCACCTGGGGCAGGCCAGTCCTGCCCACTTAGTCACAGCGATGGCTCCTTCAGTTCATCAGGGCCTTACCATGTGCTTGCTGGGCGTCATTATCCCCCCCTCCCCAAATAAAACCCTTTCTTGAGTCCACAATAGCACCAATAACAACAGTCACGGCGGCTGTCACTGATGGGCTGTCTGTCCCATGAGCAGCAGATTGTCCTCACAAAGCCCTTCAAGGACTAGCTGTCCTTGTCTCCGTCTCACAGGGCTGACAACAGGACATTTGTCACACGCCTAACACAGCTCCGACCATACTAAGTGTTGGTACCGGGGCTCAGGCGCCTAACACAGCTCCGACCATACTAAGTGTTGGTACCGGAGCTCAGGCGCCTAACACAGCTCCGACCATACTAAGTGTTGGTACCGGAGCTCAGGCGCCTAACACAGCTCCGACCATACTAAGTGTTGGTACCGGAGCTCAGGCCGTCTCTCAGAGCCTTGTGCATGACCAGCTCCATTGCCCCTCATAGTAAACAGTGGGGACTTGTAGATGGAGTTCTGACCCGGTCTGGGCCTCGGGGCTGTGAAGGGTTTTTGCAGTGTCCTTCATTTGTTCATTCGTTCGTTCGTTCATTCATTCATCCTCCATCATACAGTGAAAGCTCGTGACTTCCGGCTCCCTTCAATGTCGTACAGCACAGCCGGTGAATTGGATAGGGCTCCTCTGCCTTACGATTCTCCTCGTGCCCTGAGAGGCTTAGATCTCGTGCCTCAGTTTACCTGTCTGCCCCGTTTCTAGCTCCCCTTGCAGTTTTGATGTAGGGACGGGGATGAGAAAAGCTCTCCTCTCTCTGTCTACAGCTCATGTGAGTAGGCCACATGGTGAGTGACTGACAAACTGTGCCCGAGTTGATCCCATCTCCCTGGGCAGACTGCCCATGTAGAGCCTGGCTGAGCCAGGCACCGCAGGCCTAGGTAAGGAGGGTGGGGGTTTCCAAAGGGGAAGGAACCAGGAGATCTGCCCGTGCTGAGCAGTGGCTGAGAGACTGAGGAAAGCCTCGAGCATTTCCATGAGCCAGCTACATTTTTACCCCTCTCCAGGGAAGCACATGCATGAGGTAGAGGATTCATCCATCGGCCACTGAGCAGCTAGGCCAGCCTCTAAGATGGGTGGTTTTTGCCGGCATCCGAGTCTGATGTAGCCTGTTGCTTACCCCTCAAGCCGGTTGCTTGGCTCTTTCCCTCAGCTTCTGTAAAAAAAAAAAAAAAAAAAAGAGCTAATCACAGCCCATCCATTACAGAGTTACCATGCTGCCTAAGTGTCCTGGGTGTGTCCAGCTTACAGTATGAGGCTGATGTCATCGGACACTCCTGAGAAGTTCTGGAAAGCTACCTTCCCTGCTAACCACCCTCTCCATCTGATGTGTAGCCCTAACCCAGGCACACTGGGCTGTGTTCCATTCCCCAGCCCGGACAACACTCAGTTGCAGCCAGTTGTAAACAGGTCCCTGGTTACACAGACTCACCAGCCCCTGCACACTCTCCTGTCCTCAGAGCATGCCTAGCAGCACTTTGTGTGGCTGGGGACCTCTCCCGTGCTGGTGGCTTCTGCAAAGCTAGTTCTCAGGAGCGTGCTTTGGAGACAGCTAGAGATAAGCCACCTGCCTTCAGAAACCTAATGGCAGGAAATGATGGTTTCCTAAGGAAACCGTTGAATGGGAATTAAAGACTGGCCCTCAGGGCTGGAGAGGTGGCTCAGAGGTTAAGAGCACTGACTGTTCTTCCAGAGGACCTGAGTTCAATTCCCAGCAACCATATGATGGCTCACAACCACCTTGAATGAGATCTGGCGCCCTCTGCTGGCATGCAGAAGATTGTATACATAATAAATAAATAAAATATTAAAAAAAAAAAAGACTGGTCCTCTAGGCTGGAATGATAGCTCAGTCAGTGAAGTACTTGCAAAGAGGACCTGGGTCGGACCCCAGAGTCCACTTTTTAAAAAAAAAGCTGATAGGATCGCATGCTTATAATCCAAGCACCGGAGAGGCAGAGACAGGCAGATAGATGCCTTGGGTTCAGCAGACAGACAGCCCAGAGAGAGACAGAGACAGAGACAGAGAGAGACAGAGACACGGAGAGACAGAAAGACAGAGACAGAGAGAGAGAGGTTTGTCCTCTGTCTTGCACACACAAGTACACACATGCAGAGGCATGTGTGTATGCATATGTGCGCATTCGCAAAGGAGAAATAAAGAGGGCCTTGGACACACACTTTATAAGTGGCAGGAGGCAGAATATGGGCCTCCCCTGTCTATGCCCTTAGTGTCCCTCAAGCACCGTGCTGCAAGTACTGTGCTGATGACCCGTGACAGGCAGGTGTCGTGTCCACAGTGTGACATCATCATAAGGGGACCTTCCGCCGGCCTTGGCCTTGGTCAGCGCAGGCCTGGGGCATGTAGCCCTTCCCCGGAAGGCTGGTTCCTCCAAGCTCATTCTCCTGGCCTCCGCAGGAGCTTCGCCAGTACCTGTCCAACCTGGCTGACCAGTGCAACAGCGAGAACAGTGCCGTGGACATGCCGCTCGTCATCATCCTGGACAACCTGCACCACGTGAGCTCTCTGGGGGGAGATCTTCAACGGGCTGCTCAACTGCAAATACCACAAATGGTAAGGATGGGCCCTAGACCCCAGGGACGGGGTGGGGGTGGGGCATGCCGGTGAAGTGGTGCGTGCACAGCCAGAACCGGGGAGGTAGCCAGCTGCCCTGGGGTCCCCCAAGCCCCTGCTCTCCGGCTCACCCCTAACCTGGCTCCTCCTCTCATTGCGCTCCCTGCAGCCCTTACATCATCGGCACGATGAATCAGGCTACCTCTTCTACTCCCAACCTGCAGCTCCATCATAACTTCAGGTAAGGCCTCCATCTCCGGGCAGATGGAGAGTACAGAGAGAGAGGGGGGGGAGGGTGGGTGCGCAGCCCTCTCAGAGTAAGGCCTCCATCTCCGGGCAGGTGGAGAGTACAGAGAGAGAGAGAGAGGGGGGGAGGGTGGGCGCTCAGCCCTCTCAGAGTGCCTGCTGTGTGCTGGACTCCCTGGCGGGCCCCTTCACTTAATGCATATAATTCTCCCGGAAGCCTTGAGTTCCATTTACCTTTGTGTTTACAATGAAGAATGGGCCCCCGCCCGAGGAACTTGGTGACTTATGAGCCACGCACCGGTTAGAACTGAAGCCTGAACCCCGACCCTTGTGACTCTCAGTCACTGGGCCAGTATCAGGGAAGGCAGCTGTGGCCATATGTGCGTGTCTCTGTTCTGCATGAGCAGTGACAGCCCCTCCCTTGAAATGTCCCCATGTCGCAGGGTCTGCCGGTTCTGGCTGCTGTGAATCCCTAGGATGGCTGGTCGCCATCTGAGGATGGTCTAGCTCCATGCAGGACGGTGATGACGCTTGCCCTGGCATCGCTCAGCACCCCTGCAGCCTGCCCTCATCTCTGCCCGAGCCTCTCCTTAGGCTTGATCCCGAACCCGTTTTCACTGGCCAACACGCAGGCCTCTGTCTAAGATGTATGAAATGCAATGTATTCCCACACACTCTGGTTTTGGGGGCTTGCCATGCCTTGCTGGGTGTCCTTGTGGTTGAAAGGCATTCCTTGACTCCCCTAGGTGGGTGCTTTGTGCCAACCACACGGAGCCCGTGAAGGGTTTCCTTGGCCGCTTCCTGAGGAGGAAGCTCATGGAGACGGAGATCAGTGGGCGGGTACGCAATGTGGAGCTGGTGAAGATCATCAACTGGATCCCCAAGGTCTGGCATCACCTCAACCGCTTCCTGGAGGCCCACAGCTCCTCGGATGTCACCATCGGTAGGTGGGAGGCCAGGCAGGCTGGGGCAGGCTGCTGGGCGGATGGAGTGGGTAGTGGTCTCCCAAGAGCCTTGGCTCCCTCATGCACTGTCCTCTGGGTCCTGGCCAGGACAGCACTCAGCAGATAGGTCATGCTGTTCCCAGAGATTTCAAAAAAAGGGGAGGGGGCAGAGTGACACCTGGAGACAAAGATGAACCCACCATGGTGTCTACAGAGATATAGGCTGGGGCAGAAACAGCTATCATACAACTGAGCCCCTCCCCAGGAGCTGAACTCCCCACTGGGTTGGCTTTGTTTTTAAATGGAAAGTGTTCCCAGATTTGCAGAGGGTCAGGGATTAAAACAGAGCAGAAGACCAGGTCTTCCTGGTCCCAACATCATTTGAGTTCATTCCTCCGGGCCGTGTCTGCACAGCCGTGTCTTCCGGAGCTGTGGTCACAGGGTAGGTGTGTGTGTGTATATATATATATATATATATATATATATATATATATATATATATATATATATATATATGCAAAGCCTGTTTTACATCTCATCTCCTGAGCCTTCTGTGCCAGTGCTCGGTTTAGAGGTTACTTTTTAAAACCTGCAGAATAATCACAATAATTTACGTAATCATGTCTTCTCTCTTACACATTTAGTGGGTCTATCTTTTAAAAATCAAGATCAGTACCTCTGCTGAGAACGCCTTCTCTGCAAGCCTTCTCCTCTCTTTCTCATTGAGGGTCGGGGTGAGAGGGTTGGAGTACCCTCTTTGGAGCCCAGCTGCCAGGAGCCTGCTACCATCAGCTCCTCAAGCCACCAGCCCCACACTGCTTAGAAAGTCCAGTATCTCTCCAATGCGGAGGCTTAGGCCAGGGGTCTGACACCACCCCGGTCCATCACGATGCTGATGTGTTTCACTGTGGTCCCCAGGTCCCCGGCTCTTCCTGTCATGTCCCATCGATGTGGATGGTTCCAGAGTGTGGTTCACTGACCTGTGGAACTACTCCATCATCCCCTACCTCCTGGAAGCCGTCAGAGAAGGACTCCAGGTGAGAGACACACTCCTTTTGGCTTCCTCAGACTTGAGTGCCCTGTACTGGTGACCCTATGAGGTCTTCAGTGTGGCACACGGTGGAAATGGCTATCTTCCTCTGTCCTGCCAGCCCCAAATAACAACACGGACACTTTTTATTAGCAATGAAAGCTCGGGCTTTAGCATAGACTAGCTTGTCTCAGGCAGCTCTTACAACTTAACCATTTATATTAGCCTGCGTTCTGTCACGTGGCGTTACCTCGTTTTTTTCACCTTGCACTTCCTGTTTCCTGTCCTTCTGACTCTCGACTCCACCCTTCCTCTTTCCAGGGTCCTCTTTGTCCCCGCAAGTTCTGCCCAACCTTTGTAGCTATTGGCCATTCAACCTTTTATTACACCAATCCCAGTACTACATTTTCACACAGTATACAAATATCCCACAACAGACAGCAGCTAGCCATAGTCTTGGCTTAGATGCAAAGCATTTCACCTGTCTGCCTTATTGAGCAAGGAGATTACAGCATTGCTGTGCCACAGAGAGTTGTACAATTAAATAAAACCATAGCCATCAAGCCTCCAGCATAGGAACATAGAAGAAATGAAACCAGATTTGTGGGTAGCACCCCATGTAAGGATTCAGGCATTAATGCTGGCCTGCTCCTGTCACCTGGCAGAATGCACTCGGGCAGTACTCTGGTCAGCCCAGGGTTCTGTGACTACCTGTCTGCACACAAGTGCAAAGGACCCCTTTAAAAGAAAGACCCCCGCCCCCGCCCACTTACACTCTCTTAACTGCTGTTCCCCTGGGACAGACAGGACTTTTCCTGTCTCCCTCTTCTCTTCTGTCCTCTCTATGGTCTCTGTGTCTCTTTACCTCTTTTCTCTTTGCTTCCTCCCCTTTTCCCTTTCTAATAAAACTTCTCCCTTAAGCTCTGTCTAAATGACCTGTTTGTCCCTCCACCTTGGTCTCCCTTGCCTGCTATGGAATCCACCAAGGTCCCCACAAGCTTTATTATAACACCCCACAATTTGTTCCTTTGTCTTCTATGGTTCAAGCCTTGGATCAGGCCTAAAACCTACCCAGAGTTTTGTTATTATCATTTTTCAAGAGGGAAAAACTGAGGCCCAAAGACAGTGAGTTGCTTTAGATCATCAAAACAGCTGGGTGGTGGTGGTGGCGCACACATTTAGTCCCAGAACTTGGGAGGCAGAGGCAGTCGGATCTCTGTGAGTTTGAGGCCAGCCTGGTCTACAGAGCGAGTTCCAGGACAGGCTCCAAAACTACACAGAGAAACCCTATCTTGAAAAAACAAAACAAACAAACAAAAAACGATCATCAAAACAGAGCTTCAACTAGGCAGAATAGGGGACTCCTGAAATCCTGCACTTGGGAGTTAGGAGAGGCATGTCATGAGTTTGAGGTTACAGTGGTAGAGTACTTACCTAGCACAGGCAAGACCCTTGGTTCTAGCTGAGGCACCACAACAAAACAAAACAAAGCTCAGCAAATCTGCAATTTGAACCTTCACCTTCTAAACTTCATCCTAGGTGCTTAGGACTTGTCTGCCTGGCCTTAGGACCCCTCACAGGTGGCTCTGTATATCCCTCCTGCTCAGCAGCAGCTGGGGAACATCCACTGCTGTCACTCAGCTTAGGAGTTACTGGGGGTGTATCATTTCACTGCAGTTTGGGGTGGTTTGATTGTTGGCTGCCCGGACTCCTGCTGCCCCCGTGGCCACCTCCCCCTCCCCCAAGTTCTCCCACTCGTGTCCTCTTTGCCCCAAGCTGATCTTCTGATAAAGGCAGGGGAATGACCTGAGTCACTTGGGGGAAGTCAGAGACTGCTGAGCAAAGATTTCCAAGGTGTCCAAGGAGGCACAAGCCATTCTTGAACATAACAGATGGTTCCCTTCGTCCTCCTCAGTCACTGGTGGTACCAAGTGTTGTAATGTAAGAAAAGCAGCATGAGAGAGAAAGACACCATGTGACAGGGTTCAAGCAGAGGGTGTTTTTTTGTTTTGTTTTGTTTTGGGAAAGGGATCATAAAAGGGGGGTGGAAGTAGGGAGACCAGCCTCCTGAGACAGGAGCAGCAGGAGAGAAGAGAAAGGAAAGACAGGGAGAGAAGGATGGGAGGTGGGCAGGGCCCTTTTAAAAGGGAACACAGTGAATGTGCACAGGTGGCTGCAGCTGAGGGTGGATCCTGTCAGAACCCCAAGGGCAGGCCAGTATAGATGCCCCTCCCATTTGGAGCTGAACTGAAAGGGAGGCTTTGGACATACCCGGGGAGGACACCCTTCTGCGCTTCGTTCTGCTCAGGGAGCCATTGCAGAGGGGCCTTTTCCTGCTGGAGGGGCAACCTCTCTTCCCCCCACCAAGAGCAAGGCCACAGGTGGGAGGGGCTTCAGAGTGGCTGCTGAGCAGCCTGCCTATGGCAGGAACAAGCAAATGTGTCATCCTGGCTTCTTAGAGGAGGCAGTAAAAGGAGCCGAGTTAGGGTTCTCCCTGGCGCCACCCTGCCCCACGTCTCTGAGCTCTGCCTTGTGGATACGTGCAGGAAGCAGCCCTGAATTTTGCTGGTTCGTAAGGAATTGCTGCGGTCTGGGCAGGGTTTGGGTGGGAGTTTGAGGATAAGGAGGGCTTGCCATCTGCCAGGCATCACACCAGAAGCCTGACACCCCCCGCAGCCCTGTAGGAAGGGCAACCAGGGCCAACCGGAGCTTGGACATTAACACAGTTCCCTCAGCAGCCCATGGTGGCTGAATGAACGCTGGAGTCCAGAACCGTATGACAACTACAGCTACTTTGTAACTCTGAGGCTGCCCCGAGGTCTCTGTTAACTTACAAAGAAACTGTTTTAGGTAGCCAGGGAACAAAGTATTCATTGAGTTTAGTTGGGTCTTCGATGGTTTTCTTAAGAACAGTACTTCACGTAGTCCAAGCTGGCTGGCCATGAACTCCCGATCTTCCTGCCTCAGCCTCCTGCAAGCAGGGATTGTAGACATGTGCTACCACAGTTGGCAGTGTTCTTGTTTTGTTTTGGTGTTGTTCGATACAGGGTTTCTCTGTGCAGACCAGCTTGGACTCGAACTCACAGAGATCCATCTGCCTTGGAATTAAAGGCATGGCCTCCTATACCCAGTTCAGTGTTAGTCTTTAAATGTTCTACGCATAATTTCACTTGATAAGAGTATTCCTTTATTTTAAAAAGCTCATTTCAATGGCAGCACACGCCTTTACTCCCAGCACGCAGGAAGAAGAAGCAGGCAGATCTCTGTGAGTTCAAGGCCAGCCTGGTCTTCAGAGCGAGTTCCAGGACAGCCAGGGCTACAAAGAGAAACCCTTGAAGCAACCAAAAACAAACAAACACACAAACAAAACACTCATTTCAATTCCCCTCTCCGTTGGTTTTCTCTAAAGGCAAGCTCAGTGTGTGCCGGGTACTGTTTGGGGTCCCTGGCTCCTCACCCCACCTCACCCTGCACGGTGGCCTGGAGGGGAGCATACTAAAGTTTAGAGCATGCGCGCCCTTCCCCGGCCAAGGCTGTAAGCCAAGAAGCCGTGCAGACCTGAGAATGGGCTCCAAAGGGACTGTCACATGTTATGAGCCAGGAAGAGGGCTGCCCATGGGGAAGTCCTGCTGAGCCCTGGCTTAGCATCAAACTCAGGTGGTCCATGCCTGAGGGAACACGTCAGCGCCCCCTAGTGGATACTGTATTCAAGCTGTAGCTTTTTTTCTGGAGTGTTTGTGTACATGTTTGTGTCTCTTCTGTGTTGTGTGTGTGTGTGTGTGTGTACATAAATGCCTAGAAATATTTCCTAAATGTGAATGTTGCTGCTGCCATGCACATCCAGGAGCCTTGTGCTTCCCGTAGTGTCAGGAGTCTACGGCAGCCCAAATCTTAGTTTCCAGTGTCTTGGCTTCGTTTGTCACTCCGTCCACCTGCCCACCTGTCCCTCCGCTGCCCTCCAGGGTCTGCAGCAGAGCCATGGAGCTACGCAACACCTTCTTTGCTTGCGTCTGACTGACCGACTGACTCATGGCCACCTGGCCTTGACCGTGTCCCGTGGAATGTAGGAAGACACATAAATGTTTTCTCTCCTTACGGCTAATGTTCGCTGTCCCTGCATAACGCTTACCTTATGACTCAGTTCATAGTCCCGTTCCCCTTTGTCATGTCAGAAACACTCGCCAATGTGTCTGGAGTCTGCAGGGTGGGGCGATTCGGGAAGACCCGGCGTTGGGGTGGACGGGTGCTGGGAAGGACAGGAGTAGTGAAATGACAGTCAGGGACCTTTCATCGGTCCCCAAGGTCCTCTGACACCCTGGGAAGTCTCCCACACCAGCTGTGGCTCTCACGTCTGCAAGTGGAAAATTCTGACCTATGGGAGCCTTTTACTGGTCCAGCTTCTAGAAGCCCAGATGCTCTCAGAAACTGTCAGTGGTCTGGGGCTAAGAATGAAGAGCGAATGGGTTCAAACCAACGGGCCTCAAGAAGGCTGAGCACTCCCAGCCGCCGTCCTTCCTTGAGGGTGGCCCCAGAGAGGCAGTCTTGATGCTTCGGAGGGAGAGGAGGGATCTGAGTTACCTCCTTCAGCTGTAACACCCGAGCTGCTTCTGTGTCCTCTTCAATCCTGACCCATCAGTGGGTTCATACCTGCCCCTTCCCTGATTCCTTCCTGCTCAGACTGAAGGGCTTCAGGCTGCTGGGCTGAGTTCACGGACAAAGACTTGCATTGCCCCAGAGGAACGCAGCTGTAGCAACAGACTAGGCTAGAGGCCAGACTGGGTCGTGGGGACACAGGGAGCTGGCATCTGCAAGATGATGTCATAGGAGGTGCTGGGGTCAAATGAGGAAGGAAGCTACTATACTACAGAGATGGGTTTATCCAAGGAGTGTGGAGGATGGCATCCTGGATAGAATTCCAATTCTAGGACCTGGGGTAACTCAGGTGACACGGGGGGGGGGGGGGGGGGAGCCGGACAGGATACCCACCAGGAAGAATAGGAGAAAGAACGGGGCACCTTGGCCAGTCTGAAGTCTGGCCAACAGGCTGCTCTCGGGCTCTGAGGTCTCACTGAGTCATGTGGTTTCTGCTGATTCAGAGGGGTCCCCTGGGTGAGGTGAGAGGGGTAGGCCCGGAGAAGTGAGCTTGAGTCTCGGGTTTGAATCCAGCTCTGCCTTCCCGCCTTTCACGTCGACATGGCTGTTAGGTTCTGGTTTCCGGTCTGGTAAGAGGGGGCGCCAGCTGAGTAGCCTGGCTCCGTCCGGCTGAGAGCCTGTGGTTCTATTGGGCCCGAGCTGGACCCAGTTATGTTCTGGCTTCGGTACCTTTCCACTGCAGCTTTCTAGACAATGGAAGGTGGGGTGGGGTCTGGAATTTTCCATCTACGTACCCCGAAGTCATTGTAGAAATAACTTTTTACAGCCTAGACAGCCCCGCCCCGCCCGTCTGTGAGCGTGCCCTGTCGTGTCTGCTTTGATGCCAGTGGCCAGTGCGCAGCTGACTTGATTTGCAATGGCTTTCTCTCCTCCTTCCCGGGACTGCGCCCATCCGTAAAACACGGGAGAAGTACTTCTGTTAGAGTCATCACACTGCTCACTCCTCGGCCCCCGGCCCCCAAGGTGCCAAGGCATGGCATGAAAAGCCGATAGCCACATTAGACCTGGCAGCGCAGTGGTCAGAGCCTCCCTCGCTGTGTGTGGGAAGTGACCCGGCCGAGGTTTCTGTTTTTTAAACAAAGCCCTCGGCAACGGCCAATAAAATTGTTGCAGGCCTGGGGCCTCAAGGCTTGAGAGAAGCTTCTCGAAGCAGGACGCGTTGGCCTTATGAGGATTCACAGCTTTTGGTCACTTATGGCTAAGTCACGATGTAGTTTGCTCCTGGGGGAATAAACTGGTTACTGTTGTGGACAGGTCTGAGAACTCCTGAGCCACCAGCGAAGGCCTCATCTCTTTTGTCCATGCACGGTGTCCCCTCTTAGTGCTGTGCTTAAAAGGGGACCAGCCTGCCTGCACAAGAACTCTGAGAGTCAGACACACTTGAAAAACTGGGAGTTCAGGGGCTGGGGAGATGGTTCAGCGGCTCAAGTTCTTGTTCCAAGGAGGGGGGCCAGAGCTGAGATTCCCTAGAATCTATGTAAATTCCCAGTGGATGTGGTGTCCCTTCTGTACCTCCATGCTTAGAATGCACAAACGGGACCATCAGAGCAAGCCGGCAGCTAGACTAGCTGAACTCTGCAGCTCTGGGCTCAGCTGCGTGGCTGCCTCAATGACTAGTACTGTGTATGAAGTTCTGAGGAGGCTCCCAACATTGACGGGGCAATCCACAAGTGCACTCGTTCATGCATGTGTGAATGTGGACACACCACACACACACACACACCACACACACATCTTAGATGACTTCCTTGGTTCAGGGCGCTACATGAGGCGTAATGTTTGTTTGGGAGAGTTTCCGTCAAGCCACAACACTGGGACGAGGCGTCTCGGCCTGCCTCTCAACCGCAACCTCTGCCTGTTTTACAGCTCTATGGACGGCGTGCCCCCTGGGAAGACCCCGCCAAGTGGGTAATGGACACCTACCCGTGGGCTGCCAGCCCACAGCAGCACGAGTGGCCTCCCCTTCTGCAGCTACGGCCTGAGGATGTGGGGTTTGATGGCTACTCCCTGCCCCGGGAGGGGTCGACGAGCAAGCAGGTGCCACCCAGTGACGCTGAAGGAGACCCCCTGGTGAGTGGAAGCCATGGCCCGGATGTGAGGCCACGCTCTCTGGATATAGGGGATTGGCAAAACCTTGCCTCGGAAGGCTGGACTCACCCCACTAGTATGGATGGTTCTCTCTGGTCTTTTCTTCCACAGGAGCCTTTAACTTCCCTTAAGGTTTTTCTTGTATAAGGTTAGTTAGATGATCTTTTTTCTCCCCCTTTGAATGTCCTTACACATGTCCTCTGCCCACTGTTTGTCCTATGATTTGCATGTCACCATCTGTTGTCCCATAGAACGCTGGGGAGAGGAAGATGTGCTAAGGACCTGTCACCCAAGCTAGACAATGAGAGGCTTTGAGAGCGGGAGACAGGGGCGGAGGACATGATGGTCCCAACCCGGGTCCTCTGACTAGAGAGATAAGACTGAGCCAAGACACAAGAGAACTTCCAAACAAATAAAAAATAAATAAGGGAAGGGAGAGAGAGAGACAGAGACAGAGAAAGACAGATAGAGACACACACACACACACAGAGGAGAGAGAGAGAGAGAGAGAGAGAGAGAGAGAGAGAGAGAGAGAGAGAGAGAGGAGAGACCAATTTTGGATAGCGATGATAAAGCCCTAATGAATTCTGTGATTCTCTGCCAATACAAGACCCATACATAGTCATGCTGCCAAGTTATACCCCACTCATCAAAAAGCCAGAGAATGAGGAAGCAAATGTGCCCACGTCTCCACAGGCAAATGATGAACCTGCCTGAAACCCAGCCCCAGCTTCCGTGGCAGCTACAACAGAAGTACAGCAAAGAACACTTCTTACATTACATTAATGGAAGAGAATACTCTTAAAAGGGGGCAGCGGTAAGGCAGGAAGGGTTGGAAGGCAGTCAGATGGCTTGTTCTAGTCCCGGTGGCGCCAGCAGACTCAATACGTGCCGGCAGGTGATCTGGCTTGGCCGAGGCCTGTCAGTAGGTGTTGGGGCTGCGAATAGGTGCTGGGTGGAAGGATTCAATGCTGCTGTCCTGTCCATGGCCTGAAGGAGACACTGGAGCAGACATCTCTCAAGGCCAAGGTCATGTGGGGTCTTACTGAGGTCAGCAAGCTCACTGTGTCATGTCTTAGGTAAAAGCCCTTCATCCCGAAACATTTGGATGAAACTTGGAAGGTGCCCAGCCCTCTCAGAACAAGCCGTGCCCCTGGAAGGGTCATGCTGGCACAAGTACCACTCCCAAGTCAGATGCCTGCTGCATCCATCTCCTGGGTCTTCCTGCCCTTACTGATGCCCTCCTTCATCAGATGGATCCTTCCTGAGCACTGGACCAGCAGGGTTTTATCTCAGGACCATACACGGTGGTACTGGGGGTGTTAATAAGTCAATAACCATCCCTGCTGCCAAGGATGGGCTGCTGTGTAGCAGCCCTACCTCTCCTTGGTTCTGGCTCTGCAGAAAGAGAGCAACTTATGGTGCTATCCACCCCCTTCCCCAGGGAGACGCTGCTCAGCCTCTGCAGGGGAAGCTGATTTCATACTCTGCTATGACAGCCTTCTCCTTAACCTAGAGAGGCCCCTCCTCCTACTTACTTGGTATATGAAATACAAAATAGAGTTTATACTTACAAGCAAAACCAAAGATATTTTTGGTTGTCCCTCTCTGTTCCCAAACAAGTGGCCAGTACAGAACACAGGCCAGGGGAGGTTCGGAGCCAAGGCCTCCACTTGAGGTAAAGGTGACAGGCAACAGCTTGCCCTGCCAAAGCTTGCTCTGTACCAGGTGGCCTCTTTCTGAGTGCTCAACACTCTGCCACCTTTGATTCCCAAGAGATAAACCCTGGGTCCGATCCATTCATGGGGCGTCGGGGAGGCTTGGAGGCTTTGGGCTGTGACATGGTGTAGACCTCTGCAAGCTGTTTGTCCTGAGACTTTGTTCCTGGCAAAATGCTCCTGCCTTCCTGAAGGCTGTGGCCGCGGCTGAAGTCCCCGTGCCTCGGATGGCAAGGTTCCACAAGCAGAGGCTGCGGGATGGCATTTGCAGGGCTGTAGTCGCAGTGCAGTGCGTGTGTTAACTCAACCCGCATGTGGCACGACGGGGCGGGGAAGCAGTCATACTTACATTTGACCGGGCAAGGAAATGACACAGCAAGGGACCAGTGAAGCCTCTGGGGGGTCATGCGGCTAGTAACCAGGGAAGCTGGGATTCCGACTGCGTACCCTGTGCTCTTATCCTCAGCCTCTCCTGGGGGGCGAGTCTGGAGCAGATGGCAGGGGCTCCAAAGAGGCCGGGGTGGGCTCCCCAGCAAGCTGACAGGCTCTCCCACCTCCCCGCTGTCCCCACAGGTGACCATGCTGATGAGGCTGCAGGAGGCAGCCAGCTACTCCAGCCCGCAGAGCTACGACAGTGACTCCAACAGCAACAGCCACCATGACGACATCCTGGACTCGTCCCTGGAATCCACTCTGTGACCGAGGCGCGCCCCTCCCCCACTTCTCCTCGCCCCGTCCCACGCACCCTCCACCTCATTCTGAAGATGACTTCCTGAGCCAGCCCTGGCTGCCACCGCCTGGAAGCCAGAGCAGGGTGGCAGCCATAGGAGACCCTCATCCCCTGCACAGCTGTACTAGCCTCTGTCCCTGCTCTCATTCTCGTCTTTGCCCTGTTGATGTGGCCTCCGTGAGACACCGTAGATACTCCACGGGAAAGGATCCTCACCGTTGAAACATAAAGAGATCAAGTGGGAATTTTCAAAAGTAAGATCCCGCTCGGTGCCCTGAAACCCAGCAGCATCCCCCTACACGCCAATCCCAGGCAGAAAAGACTAGACCCGACTTGGAAACACAGACAACAGGGCTTCCCTCGGCACAGACCCTCCAGCTGGGGTCTGGCCACCAGCACCCCAGAGCCATGCCACCCACTCTCCACGGAAGAATTGGTGCTAATGAGGGCGCTTGCTTGGAGCGCCGCCCAGGGACGCCTAGCCATCATAGTCTCTGTTTTCCACATGGTGCTTCCTTCCCGAGAGGTGTTTTGTCTGTTCCAATACACCCCTGCCCCTTTTCAGCCCACCGGCCCCAGTGATCCGGGAGAGCCGATAGGGCTAGCACCACAGAAAAGCGGGCCGTTTCCGTCGTCCGTCTAAAGGGTCAGGTTTCTGTCCGCAAACACTGTGTACTGTGCAGTAGTTCTTTGGAGAACTATTGACCCCCTGCCTGTGTCTGCCTTTCTTCCTGGTTGATTGTGAAGGTCCTCCCACCCCCGCCAGAACCAGTCCTGTGCTGAAGGAAAGAGCTGAAAAGTGGTTGAGTTTGGCACCACCTCGGCTTTTCGGCATCCGCTGTCACGGTTCTGCGCCCCTCGCCGTCTCCTATGGGGCTGTGGGCGTCCGCGTCCTCGCAGATGGATGAGGACCAGTTCTCCTCTGTGGGCGAGCCACAGACCTTTCCCTCCCGACTCTGGGAACCCCACTTCATCACCTCAGTCACCCCAGCTACAGGAGCTGACAATGTATGTCCCCTCGTCAAAACACCGGCACTTTGCTCGGAACCGGCGTGACCCAGCTTAGCCAGGGAGGGGCTGCCACTCTTCCCAGAAACCTGGCCCTGCCTCCGTCCCGATGAGCCTTGCCTGACCTCTTTGGTGCTGACCGCCCCCCCCCATGCAATGCCTTACTGGTTTTTGTACTGAACCGTGTCCGTTCACATGCGTGTAGTGCGCCTGCCTGGGGTTGTGTGTGAGTGTGCTTCCCCCATCCAAGTAAACAGGGCTATGAGTCATCTGTTCATAAAGAGAACACGAGTTGCCGACTTCTCATCTGAAAGACTCATCTGTGTGGGTGTATGATTGTGGGGAAAAAATAGAGCGAGAGCGAGAGAGAGAGAGAGAGAGAGAGAGAGAGAGAGAGAGAGAGAGAGAGAGAGAGAGAGCCATTCTTTTTAGGTTCCTGTCAGTCTCCAGCCAGCAACCTCACTGGACAGTGGTCCCACAGGTTCATGCGGCATTGCAAATCCCTTCTCTAGGAGACACAGCTCAGTGTGCCATGACTTCAGCACGCTGGTGACCTCCTAACCAGGTATGGACACCATCACGCCCATTGTGTCTTAGCGTCTTTCCTGGCTGCAGTGAGGGTGTCTCTGTTACCAATCAGGGTTCCTAGTCCACCTTTCGCCATTCTATTGTTGGTTTGTCTCTTGGTAGTTTTTTATTTTTATTTTTATTTTCTTACCCTAAGAACTTGACCCAAAACTGCTCACTTTGCTTGCGATGGCGCTGTTTTTGTATTAACCCATTAACTGGTAAATAGCAGCATTTCCACTCCCTGCTGTAACCCCAGACTCAGTCTCCACCGCTCATGTGGTGTGAGTGTGTCCTCTGTTGTGTTGTTTGTAGTAAGACTTCTAAACCGTATGTCTAGCCTGTGAGCAGGGCCAAACCCTGAGCCTTCCAGTGTCCCTGAAGGGTTAGCCCTTCTCAGCCCTATCCCCAACAACGCCGTACACGCTCATACTGTGAATTGAGGAGGTTTTGAAATCGAGGCCCTCCTCCTGAGTGGTTTTCTCAGTCACCTTAGGAGTACACCCTGCTGTCCCGAGCTGTTGTCTCGATGTTACCCAGACTTCTCTCCCTCCACACCCAGGTACACAACGGAAACCTGTGTACCTGCTGCTGCCCTGTGGCAGGCGAGCAGTGACGTAGTTACATAGCCCTTGAGTGCTGCGAGGCGGGGCTGTCCCAAAGGCGCATCTCCTACTGTGTGTGTCATGAGTTTTCTTTCCTGTTGCTCAACCTTGGATAAAGTGACTTGGGACTCATTTAGGGCTCTGTCTAAAATGCTTCCATTTTTGCCTTTTTCTATGGATAGGCTAACTTTGAGATGTAGTAAATCCTATGCAACACTGATGCTGAGGTACCAGTAGGAGCCAAAAGCTTTCTTCCCAAGAGGCCGTCAATGAGGCGGGAAATCTTTTTAATTTAAGGTTGCGGCGGATCTTCCTCTGCTCGCGGGGACATCTTAGATTTTATTGTTTAATGTTCCACTTAAAAATACTGTGTGCCCAAATCTGACCATGGCAAATCTGTTTCAAAAGCAACTCTGCAGCTGTTGAAGGGAGGGTTTGCTGTTCTCACCTGCTTGTTTCAGGCCGATCCGTCTATGGAACATGTTCTATAAGATGTACATTTTTTCTTTTCGTTGTAACATAGAAATTGTAAATAACCAATGAAACTGCTGCATTTTGATGACTTTTTTCTAGCCATTTTTAAAGAGAAAACTAGGAATTGAGTATTTTGTGTACGGTATGTTTCCACCATCCCCCCCTCCCCTCCGGCGCCCCCCCTCCCTATTTAATTCTCATTTGTCATGAGGTTTTTGGGTTTGAGAACAATCCGCTGGAGATCTGCCCCATGTCATAGAAAATAAAGCCAATGATTGTACCACTCTTAAATTATTCATGATTCAATAAAGTTAATGCTTATTTATTCAGATCCGTGGTTTGGCTTCTCCGTGTTGGCAGAGACCTGTCTGGTGTTAAGCGCGTGTCAGGAGGGTATTATTCTTCCGCAGAGGCGATGAACCTGAGGAACCCAAACCTGCTTCCTGTCCACCTTTTCTGGGAGTCATCAGGAGCCACTCTGCATTTCTCATGAAACTTACCACTCACTGGAGGCTTTAGAGACGCAGCCACAGCCCCGCCAACCTTTGGGAGCCAGTGGACCTTGTGGAAATGCTGCTTCCGCACATCCTCCGTGGCCCTCCATAATTGATCTTCGTTGTTGTTCAAGAGTATATGAATTTTGTTTGGATTTTGACTTTTTTTTTTTTTTGAGATAGGGTCTCCTGCATTCCAGGCTGGTGTCAAATTCTCTATGCAGCTAGGGATAACCTTGAACTACTAATGCTCCTGCTGAGTGCCACAGCTATGAACACACCGTCATGCCTGATCCTGGGTGGGACCCAGAGCTCCCTACATGCTGTGCAAACACTCTCACCTACTGAGCCCCAGCTGCAAGTTTCTGGCTTTTCTGTTGTTGGTTCTTGACTGGCAGGCATGGTGAGACTGTTGCAGGCGTGGAAGCAGAGATCAAGCCTTTCTCCTGCCCTCAGACGCTGCAAATGTCACTTCACTATGCTGAGAAATGCTAGTAATTACTAAGTAACTGTCATCCAACCTCCCTCTAGCAATCGCTCTTAGCTACCGAGCCAAATCTCAGGGCCCTGTTTAAATGCTCTGAGAAACCTCTGTAGTGTTCTCTCACATCTCTGCTGTATACATTCCCATCAGCATTGTGTTGACTCCCTTTTCCACAGCGTAGTATTTGTTCTAGCTGGGATGTTTGTAACCAGCATCCTGGATGATGTCAGCGCTCAGCTCCCTGGACCACACTCTCAGTAGCAGATACCCAGTGTCCAGGCACTATCTGTAGCAAAATTTTAAAGATGAACATGAGACAAAAGTGTCATTTTCTCTGACATAAATGCAATGCAAGATGGACAGGTTTTTTTGGTTTGGGGGTTTGTTTATTTTTGTTTGTTTTTTAAGTTCTCTTAGCCAGATGGTGGTGGTGCATGCCTTTAGTTCCAGCACTCCAGTGGCAGAGGCAGGTAGATCTCTGAGTTCATGGCCAGCCTGGTCTACAAAATGAGTTCCAGGACAATCAGGGCTACATAGAGAAACCCTGTCTCAAACAAACAAACAAACAAAAAAATAAACAAATGAGCAAATAGTTTGAAGAACTAGAAGATGATAATAGATAAATCCAGACAAAACCCAACATATATTCCCTTCACTATGTGGAATTATGAATAAGTCAGTAACTCAGGACCAGAGGAGAAAAAGACAAAGTACAATTCCAGTAACAGCCACCAGTTCCCATTGTGAAGCTTGAAGCTGGCTTTCCTCCTCCTCCTTCCCCCTCCTCCTCCCCCTCCTCCCCTTCCTCCTCCCCTTCCTCCTCCTCCTCCCCCTCCTCTTCCTTCTCCCCTTCCTCCTCCTCCCCCTCCTCCTCCTCCTCCTCTTCCTTCTCCTCCTCCCCTTCCTCCTCCCCCTCCTCTTCCTTCTCCTCCTCCTCCCCTTCCTCCTCCCTTTCCTCCTCTTCCTCCCCTTCCTCCTCCTCCTCCTCCTCCCCCCCCCCTCCTCCTTTTTGGTTTTCCAAGACAGAGTTTCTCTGTGAAGCAGTCCTGGCTGTCCTGGAGACCAGGCTGGCCTTGAACTCACAGAGATCTGCCTGCCTCTGCCTCCTGAGCACTGGGATTAAAGGCGTGCACCACAACCGCCCGGCTGGCCTGTTGTCTTTGAACAGTCAAATGTGATTTAGACAACTTCATGCCACTCCCTTAAACCTCAACTCTCCTGCCTGCTGTGGGTACCACAAATATGGCAGAGCTAGCCACATCTGTGTCACAGCCTTGAGGAGCCCACACCCTCCCTCAGTCTTGCTTGTCCCCACAACTGGTTCCTCTGTAGGTGTCCTGGTACAGAGCTTCATGACCTCCAGGAACGAAACTGGGACTCTGCAGCTTGGCTTGCCAGGCGGAGCGAGGGCAGAGGGCAGTGAACAAGCTTGCTTGCCAGCCCTGCACAGCATGTGACTTAAAAGGCACCACTCTCCTCTGTGTGTCTCTAACAAGAGCCCACTAGCTCCCTAATTCCAGGCAGGATCCCAGGCCAAGGATGAACTAGAATGTTCCAGGAGAGACAGGCAGGGTGGTAAGCCTGTACTCAGGAGACAGTTCCAGCCCAGCCTGGGATGTGTAGAGGCCACTTGGCAAAACAAACAAACAAACAAGCAACACAAATGTGCTGGGAAATGGCCTAGTTCAGTTCCAGGATTCTGAGACTGCCAATTAGGGGTCGCCTCGTCGACTACCTCACAGTGGCCAGCAGAGGGCAGCAAAGCCCAAGTAAACCCATCAGCCGCCGCTCTGCCCCTTTCCTCCCTGTTCCCCAATTCTCTCTGTCCTCCCTCTCTAGGTGTCTCTCCTTTCTCTCTCTGAGTCTCTCCATGCCCCCACCCCCACCCCACTGCCCTTCTCTTCTCTCTCCCTGCTCTGCCCATGTGTCTCTCCTTCCTCTGTGGCCCGCATCCCCACCTCAGGGAATGAAACTGTGTAGCGAGGAGAGGAACTCATGGGCCCCGGGCGTCTGAGGTCTTGACACTACCTTCCATGGATGCAGAAGGTGAGAGCAGAGGAAGGACTTCGGCTAGGTGTTCCCAGTCAGGCATAGAGAAGGGTTTGTTCCTGGGGTGGTCTGGTTCCAAATCCCAAACATACCCGCATCAGTAAGGGCCACCTACGCACTCAGTGCCGGGGCCCTGGTGACATTAATCATTGGTCCTGCAGTTGAGCCTGGGGGGACATTATACCTGAGCAGTTCCTGAGGCAGAACAAGCCCCCGGGTGTCCTGAGGACCAGTGGGTGCAGTGTGCAGACTGTGGAGTTGCTGGCACCCGGCTTGCGGGCTGAGTCTCTAACAGACAAGGCTGTTCCGTGAGCCTCTGCTGCTAGCTCTTCAGAAGCGCGCCCTCCCACAGCAGATGCTGCAAGCGTCCCGCACGCACACACGCACTCAGCATCCCTCCTCCGAAGGGCTCTGTTTTGTGCAGGAGTCCACGCCTCCTAGGGGTCACCCCGGACCTAGTCCTGTCTGCTTGGCAGTCTCCTGAAGATGGAGCAGAGAGACTGGGATGGGAGGGAGTCTTACCCACGCAGGCAGAGTTACTGATCTTGGTGGCCACAGGCTCACAGCCTGCCTCTGGACATCTAGTGAAAGAATCCCCCCCTCGAAGTCCACCTGAGCAGAGCAGGTCCTCCGCCTGAGTGAAATGTCACCGTGGAGACACCTTGGAAGCTGCTGATGGCAATACCTAGCGGGAAGCAGGCTCAGGGAGGCATTCTGGGGACCTTCTGTTGTGCAGAGAGGCCACGGGCACAGCAGTGTGTGCTGGCTGAGATTTGCAAAGCCAGCCCCTACAGCCAGCCCCTGGGGCTTAAGTCCTCCGTCTGCCTGGTGCTATGCTTGCGGGAGTATTGATAAATCAGTAACATTCCAGAGGCTACACTCAACACACTGTTAAGATGAAGGTGCCAGCAACGGGACCGGCTGTTCCTTACAAGTCTGACCAGGGTTAAACGGGTGACATGTGCGACTCCCTGAAAACAGGCTGTACGCCAGCCACACTTGCAGACGTTAGCTGTGACCATGAGCTTTCCTGTATTTGAAGGGGGCCGAGGACACGGGCTTCCATAGCTGACACGAAGCTTGGATTTGATCCCCACCACCCATAAGCAGGGCGTGTGGTACAATACTCTAATTGTAGGACTTAGGACGTAGAGGCAGGAGGATCAGAAGTTCGAAGTCATTGCTAGCCCAAGAGTGAGTTCGAGGCTGGCGTGGGGGGTACATGAGACCCTGTTCGCAAACGAAAACAACAAAACGTCACCGAGATTTTCCAGGCTGGAGTGCACATCTAGCCACGTGCCAACTGTATTGACGCGCACACCCTGGTTATGGGTTCCTATCTATTGAGCTGGGGGTGGGCGGGACATACACAGCCCTGAACAGACGTCTGTGCACACCGACAGTGACAAAGCTCCGTATCAACTAGGTGGCCCCAGACTGCCGCGCGGCCTGAGTGCTTCTGTTCTTTCTTGCTTAGAACTGGCCCACGGCGCGCTCGCGCGCACTCGCGGTTCCCCGTAGAGGCCATCCTCCCAGTAACGGTACAGGCAGCATCTGACTTGTACCTCTCTTCTCCGCCTAGGCTAAGCTTCACAGGATGACAGCACAGTACCAAGGTCTCTTCCTGTTTGACACAAAGCAGGTGGGGATAACCGTGTGACACGGGAGGGGACGTGGGGGGTTGTCACCCACGGCTGTCTATCCAGCGGCCACCGTACTCTTCTATCAGAACCCCCGCGGCTGTCTATCCAGCAGCCACCCTACTCTTCTATCAGAACCTCAGTTTGGTCCAGGCAGAGAACAGTCAGCCTGGGGGCACTCAGAATCCTTCACTTCTCAGTTCAGGCACAGTAGGGATTCAGTGAGACACAGGGGTGTCTGCTGAGGATTCTGGGAAGTTTTCTTTCCAGAGCCACACAGCTGGGAAGCTTCCCTTCGCCATGGTCCTTTTTGCCCTCTGCTCTGGGCCCCACCATATGAAGAAGGGGTGACTGGAGCTACAGTGGCCACCACAAGGCCACCGAGAAAGAGCCAGCATGCTCAGAGCAAACACACCAGGCAGGGTGAAGCAGAGGGGCCCTAGTGAGCATGCCTGGGCTTTGATGACACTGAGAGACCAAGAGTTAACAGACCCCTGGCGGATGGACAGCTGGACATAAGAGGGCCCAGAAGCAGAGAATGACCATGGCAAATTCTGGCTTCTTCCTCACACTCCTGAAAGTCCGGAGACTTTCCCTGCTGCTGCCTGCTGTGCTCAAGACGTTTCCTGCCTTCTAATTCTTCAGCTGTTAGAGAAAATGAA